CCTAGCCAACCTCCTACAGCCAAGGCCGAGACCGCCGCCTACGCCTACCCCTCCGGGCCCCAACGGGGGGAAAGCAAAAGGCTCCGCCTCAACTCGCAAGCCAACGAGAAAGGTGGCAAAGGTAAAGGCCGCGGCAAAGGCCTCCAGAAGCCAGATAGCGGCTATCTGATAGCCCTTCTAAGTCAGAAGCCTGGCCAGCCAATTGTGTTGAAAGCCAAGGGTAAGGTCCTTTGTAAGCGTTATCAGCGTAATCTCTGCGCCCTGCCCAATTGCAAGTTTGCGCACCTCTGCGCAATCAGAGGTTGCGGCAAGGAGCACTGTGCCGTCGACCATGACAAGAAGCCTTCTTGACTAGGCCGCCCAGCAGAACAGCAGCCTGCCTTACAGCCACCTCAGCGTCACCGCAGCCCCTCGCCTGAGGCTCCATCACAACCCCTGTCGCATCAGGGGATGCCAACTCACAAGCCGCAGATCGACTCTTCCGAGCCGCCACAACCCACAGAGACGCAGCCATTTCAGCCTCAGCCAACTCAGACCAGGAACCCAGGGGGAGGCCCGGCAGGCCGACGATTTGCCAATCAAGTATAGACATCGATTAGCCAACGCAAAGCCGATAAGTCCCCCTCCCCACCCAGCCTTAGGACCCTAGCGGTTTGCCCTTCCCTACCCATAGGGGCCACATGTCTGCGGCACACGCAGGACGCCAATGTGTGCGCCATAGACCTGTCCCGGGAGGACCCAGAACAGGTGCCAGGCCTTCTCCTCCAAGCCATCTGGGCGAGAGTGGTCATGGGGGTTCTAGCTGACCTCGAGGTACTGGCCCCAGACGTTGAGGAAGCCTGCGCCTTCCTGCAAGCCATCCGCTCCTCCGGAGCTTCAGCCCTGCTCTTTCTTCCAGCCGATCACTTCCTCTTTCAGTCTGCGCCCTTCTGTGAAGCAGTCCATGATGGAGGTCTCTCCTTATGCCCGGAGCCAGATTCCGACAGAAGACCCGGGCCTCTCAGCGTTAGGAACAAACTCTCCCGAAGGGGGATGTTTTCTTATTTGATTGTTTTCATGTTTGGAAAAATTGTTTACAATTTTTCATGCGCACTTTTTCTGTCATGCCTTGCTGGAGTATATCGCATGACTTTCTGATTTTCTCACGAGTGCTGTACCATGCTTGTCTTGGTACTCGCAGTTTTGCTTGCAGGCGTGAGAAAATTTTTGTCTGGGCCTTCTAGAGGCCTGTACCCTCCTGTAACAGGTTCCGGGCTCCTTACGCAAATCTTTAGCTTCCCCGGACAGCCGGGTTTTGCATGGATCGGCGGCTGCAGCGTCCGCCTCCTGCCTTGCGGAGGCTTCTGCTCCCCTGGCTTTGGGAGCGTTTAACCTTGCGGGGCTGGCAGTCTGAGATCTTGCGCCCTGACCCGCCAGCGTGCTTGAGCATCGCTCAGTTCTTGGGAGCAGCCTCAGCCGGGGCCCACATTTTGCTCGGCATTGGTGTGGATAGGTTGCTGCCGTTGCGGGCCAGTTGCAGAGCTGTAGCTTACCTTTTCTGCACGATTGCTGAACTTGTGCACCGGGCCCGTGGCCGCCTCAGTTGGATCTACCAGCGTCGGTGAGCGCCCGCATTGTCTGGGGTATGGCGCGACCGCTCGACAGGCTGTTGCTTGCTGCAGACAAACATGTGTCTAAGCACTCACTTAAGTTGCCCTGGGAGCGCGGAGCGATGAGAGCAATTTTCGGGCAGAGCGATCTGAATTCCCTTTCCCAGTGCAGTGTATCAGCTCCTCTGCAGACGGAGCCCTTAGATTCCGCTTCTTTCGAGGAGGCAGCTGCCAAGGCCCATCCCCAAGAGGCTGCCAGTTTGTGTTTGTGCAGGTCTTTTTCTCCGCCAGGAAGTTTCAGAAGCCTCAGGAAACCGAGGAGCAGCAGTTGCAGTTGCTTGCAGCCAGGTATAATGTTCTCTTGAGCCACGCATACGAGTGCTCCTCCCTTGGCAGACTGTTGAAGGACAAATGCGAGGCCGATCAGGTCAGTCTTGTTGCAGAATCCTTGGGTGGCAAGGCTATCTCGACTTTGAAGAAGCGGTTGTCCAATCTCACCCGCCTAGTGGGATGGTGCTCAAACCAAGGCATGTCGGCCTTTCCGATCGACTCTCAGGTGCTGATCGAGTACACCCAGCATCTTCTGCAGAGCGGTGCCTCGCGCTCTGTATTTGGATCTTGCATCGAAGCCTGCAACTTTGCTAGATTCATTCTGGGAGTGGATGCAATTGGTGACCCTCATAAGCACCCGGTCGTGCAAGGGCGCCTTCGCAAGGTGCGGTTCAACCGCCCGGCTCGTGTGCAAGCAAGGCCTTTCCAGGTTCGTGAGGTGGCATACCTTGAAGCCTTCGTGCAGGACGGCCGCCGTTATGTGAGGGACAGGTATGCTGCAGGTGCTTGTCTGTTTTGCATTCACTCGAGAGCCCGGATAGGGGATGTGAGAGCGGTCAAGCTGATGATCATCGATTTTGCGGACGGCGAAGGTTTCCTTGAGTGCATCTCGACCTCTCACAAGTGTGCATCGACAGGCAACCCGTTGGGGCTCGAGTTGAGCCTCGTGGCACCTGAGCGGGGCGTGGGTCAAGGTCTTTGGGCTAAGGCTTGGGTTGAAGTGTGGCGTGCTTCGGGCCATCCGGTCGCCACTGGCTCTTCTAGCTTGCCTCTGCTACAATCACCTATGCTTATATGGATCTTGGAGCGGTCGTCGGATTCCGACGGGCAGGTTTGTGTCTGTGTCCTGGATTTCATCGATCCTTAAGTCTGGGGATGCGAGCATGGGGGTTGACCTCAAAGGCCACTCGTGCAAGCATACTGCCCTCTCGTGGGCAAGCAAGACGGACATGTCCAAGGACACTTGCACAATCTTGGGACATCATTCCTTGAAGGACCGACGATCGGTCGTTACATACTCCAGGGACATTCAGGCGGGACCGTTACGGGAGCTGTGTCAAATGTACTGTGACATTCGGTGTGGCCGGTACCTTCCGGATATGACACGGTCGGGTCTTTATGCAAAGGGCCCTGGCGCTGCTGGAACGGGCGAGGAGCTACTTGGTGACAGTGTGTTTGAGACTGAGGCTGAAAGAAACTGGTATCGGCCGGCAGTCAGCCCTGGATAGGTTCTGGCACAAGACAGCGTGGATCGTCCCTTTCCTTATCCGTGCCGCCATGGTACCAACTTCACTCGAACCGCAAGATTGCCACTATGTCCCGCAAGGATTGCCATTATGACTCGTTGCCGATTGCCAATACAAGCACATGCGCCTGACCGTCCACTGCAGGTCGGTATTCATTTCCACCGCTACGATGATCAGACTATTAGTGGAGGATGGGCTCTCCTTAGTCTTCTCCTACCTGACCATCACCTTCGACTGGTATGATGCTTTCCAACAAATTATTCTGGAGGTTTTATGTGGGTCTGAATGTCATCCCGCACTCTATTTCCAGACCGATGTGGGAGTGGCGAGCCTCCCTACGTTTGTTCCACTTGACCCTGCCGCTTTTGCCTACGTGTTTTGCCAACCATGGGAGACCGGTGGCTCCCAATGACGCAACCGGAAACCTCTGGAACACCCCATCAGACTGTCAGGTCTGCAGGTGCATGTCTACACTTTACGACGGGACGCATTTCTGGATTACCATGCATATGATCTGAGAAAGCTTGTACAACAATTTCCCACGGGATGACATTGACCCCAGCTTAGCAAGCGCCTCGTTTGAAGTATTCCGCAATGCTGTCTAGGGGAGCCGACATGAGGCGAACCGGGGGACCACGGCCTTCCCATGCTCTATGCCAACGTCAACTGACTTACCGGGTGATCCATTTTTTATCGGCGAGTGGTCGCGAATTCCCCTTGTGCGTCGGGTGAGCTTTATCAGCGACTATAGAAGAGTCCCTTCAGAGTAAGCTTTTCCCCACGGTGGCCGGAAAATTTACCCTAGTCCTGCCATCGTCTCACCCGAAAAGGGTAGCGAAGAGCCCTGTATAGACATGTCCACTGCGTATGTAATTTCCTTGAACTTGTTCCCCAACCTGTATGCTTCCGCCGATTGTATGTTTTCCCCGCGCGTTAGTCCCATTGAAAGGGCTGCTGACGAGCGGTCTCACCTGTGGACACGCTCTGCGCGACAGAGAGAGAGAGAGAGAGTCAGCCCTGGATCAGCGTGCGAATCAGAAGCCCTTCGTAGTGTGAGTGCTCCTGCCTTCGAGCCGGCTTTCGGCGATCAAAAGGATGTCAGTGACGACGACACCCCTTTTGGTCGTGCTGTGGACTCCTTGATTCATAGCGCGGAACGAGCTGCCTTGGAGGACCCCGATGCTGCCCTTGAGGACGATGGGTCCCAAGGTGATGTGTCAGGATCCTCTTCGTCTAGCGAGTCTAGTTCGGATTCAGGCTCGTCTGACAGCAAGATAGATGAAGTCCTGACCGCGAGTCAGGCAGATCCCCAAGTGGGGCAGAGGTACCATGATCGGTGCCCGGTCTATCAGCAGAAGAGCACGAGGACTCTTCATCTCAAGCCTGGGGGAAGCTCCACGGAGCGTTTTATATGTGGTCGTGACATCACGGTGAACCACAAGCCGTTCACGTCGGCGGTTCAAGCAGCGCATTGGCGCTGCAAGCAATGCTGGAAGGGAAAGCCCATCAGGGATTTAGGGTCTTTGGTGTACTGTCTTGACGAGCGCTTGAAGAAGATTCCGAGGTCCGCGTAAAAGTCTGCTTGGTGTGATGCAGGAGTCAGACCCCGAGCCTAGCTGGCCCAGAGTTCCTCGATTGACTGCAGTGAATGTTTTGCTGAGTGCATGCGGGACTGTCTTTGTTGATTACATGCAGGACGGCTCAGACATCTTGCGGGATCATGTGTCATGGCATGTTGGTGATTACCTTGCGGGAGTCCGGATGTGATTCGATGTTATGACATGCACACTGCGCTCATTGCTACGTCTGTGCGTGTAGGATCCGATTTTGTGTCATGGCTTCCATCTTGAAGAGTCAAGCGGCTTTTGAGGAGAGGGCCAAAGAATGCGGACTGGCGCAAGCTGAACTCGATGTGCTTGTGCGTAAGGGGCTGACTTCTTTGTCGCTCCTTGCCTTCAGTGTTTCGACTCCGGGCGAAGTGCCGCAGGAAGCTGAGCTCAGGTCCATCCTTGATCCCACGGATCCTACGACTGTGCCACTGCGTGCACTGTCGGCGCTGCGGCGCCTCATGTTTGAAGCTCAAACCTTATCCATTGCCCAGCTCAAGAGCTCGATCGAGGGTGAGGGTGAGCGGAAGGCGGAGTTGGCCCCTGCAGAGCGAGCAAATCGCCTGGCCGATCAGCGTAAAAGGCTCATCGGTCTCAGCTTGACGGGTCCTTTGGAAAACGCCTTCAGCAACTACACTTATGTTGCCCAGGTCGTTGATCAGGATTGCCTCTCCTACCTGGAGCCTCACAGGTTCCTGACCAGGGCCATGGAGGTAAATCGTGAGAAGCCGGGGAAGTGACTTCATCACTTGTGATTATCACTTTATTTCCTTTTTCACAACAACCGTTGTCGGGTTACGACAAGGTTGAACATGGAGATTTTCATGAGATTTCCGTTTTTCACGATTTGCTCTCTTTTACTTTCACGCATGAGCATTGAGAAGCATGGGCATTTGAATGACGATCCGAATGCAAAGTTTCTTGCTCAAGTGGGCAGGAAAAATTCTTTTTAGGGGCGGGTGGGTTGCACTCGTGCTGTCAGCTCAGATGGATGCTTCTGCGAGTGCTGAGTCTCACGAAATGGATGACTCCTCGTCTTACGAGGAGGTGGTCGTTGAGGAGACTCCACCTGCTCCCTCTTGTCCTGCAGATGTCGTCGACCAGCGTGATCTTCGCGCTTCTGAAGAGCGGTTGAAATCTCAGCTCAGCCAGATTGCCGAAGACCTGGCTGCCATAATCTTTCAGGTGCACATGCTGCAGGAGAGCTTTCACATCTTTCGCACAGAGACTTCCGAGCGTCTCTCCATTCTGGAGGGTCGTGCCACGGACATCGAGGCGGCTTTTGAAGAGTTGCACCAGGCTTGCTCTCGCCCAAGTGAGCCCTGAGACTAGTCTGTTTCGCTGCACTTGCTCGGAGACAGGCCCTTTTGCCATGCTTGACAGATAATTTGCAGTTTCGCTGTGGTTCCAATCAGGGCTGGTCTGGTCCACACCTCAGATTCGGCCTCACTTCATGCTTTAACTGTCTGCATAGCATCGGCGCCTGGTTTTGCAGATCTCCTGATGTAGATGCTGGTGATATCCAGCACAGATCGTGGCTCACTCAGACTGTGCGAAAAACACTCAACTTGCTGTTACTTGTGCGGCATGTGTCGCATGTTTGAGTGCCTTGCAGTGTGGTCTGTGGTTCTCCACAACTGGTCTGTGCACTTTGCGTTCGACCTGCATGCTACTCACATGTCTTAGCGGAGCGCGCTGTCTGTGCCGCTGATCTTTCAGATTTCGCAAGGACCCTACGCCTTTAGGTTCTTTACTGCGGGTTCTGCTCCCTCATAGATGGACGCGCTGACGGAGTCCCAGATTCAGTTCTTGCGCGATCTCCAAGAGGCCCTCTTTGCCGTTCGGGAGGCCGAACGTCAGCGTGCACAGACTGGCCCGCCTTTTGCTTCTGCCAGGGCAAATCGTGAGCGTGAGCGTTCGAGGTCCAGGGACTCGAGTCGCGATGCGACACATTCTTCCAATGCTTCGAGGGAACGGGCACGGGACCTCAGCCCCTCGGGGTTGCTGCGCCAAATTTGCTGTCTCCGCAATGACTGTGAGTCTCTTGGACACAGAGTTGACAATCTCTGCTTGGGACGCACTCATTTGATGAATAGCTTGCTGGCTAGCCAGGAGTCCAGTTCTCCTTTTTCTGCGATTTCCGAGTTTGTTTTGGATACCAGGGCCTCCCTCAGGACTCTGCATTCACGTCTTGATGAGCTCACACGTGTGGCCGCCGAGACTGCGATGAGTACAGCTTTTCGTCTTGATCGTTTGGAGGCCGCTTTGGCCCCACCTTTGTGCCCACATGATGGGTCCAGCTGAATCACCTCAGTTTCGAAGCCGGTCGTGTCCTACTGCTGGCAAAATTAAAGCTGCATTGCTGTGGCCACAAATCGTCGTGCCTGTGCTGGTGACCTTAGTGCTGCTTCTCTGCAGACGAGCGTCGCTGACCATGGCCTGTAACGTAGTTTTGGCTACTAGCAAGCTGCCTGCCTTTGCTGCGTTCGCAGATCCGCCGACTTGCTCCTGTGCTTGCACTTGCATGGCCGAGAGTGCTGGCCTGCGACGTCCTGTGACCTCCGGGTGCAGTGGACTCGCTGCGCTCACGACTCGAGCACAATGCAGGGGGCGAGTAACGGGTGCTCGAGCGATCAGGGCCCAAGGATAGACTTCGAAGCTTTGCTGAGCGCGGCTGTGGATGCTTGTGCTAGCGATGCTAGACAGCCCGCGGAATTGCCCTGGGAGCACGGTGTGTTCAAGAGCATCTTCGAGCCTAGCGATGTGGTGGGCTGGGAAGACACTTTTATGTTGCCCGACCTGCCTGTGCCGGATGATCCCGAGGCAATTCTCCCACCTTCAGAAAAGAAGAGGCGTCTTAGAGAAAGTGGCCTCGTTCCTAGAGTGTGTTTTGCGGTGGTACGTAAAAGCCACGGCATATCTTGGCAAGATCAGCGTGACAAGGACCATGACCGGGCCATAGCTCGATGGACCTTTGTTATCTTGAGGTGGGGCGACCTTCGCCCGGACCTCTTGATCTGCAAGAGTCTGCTTGAGTGTGCTACCGCAGAAGAACGTACGGAAGTTCTTCGGGATTGGTTGCACCCCAAAGCTCCGAGTACGCTGCTTAAGCGTGTTAACTCTCTGCTTCGTTTTCACAAAAGTGAGGGATGGTCCGACGAGACTTTTCCATATGAAGAGGGCAGTGTTTACAAGCACATGGTTGCAGCCAGAGCTGGCGGAGCGAAGCCGGCACAGATGCGCGCGCTTCGTGAAGCGTTGATCTTCGTTCGACATGTCTTCTCAGTTGAGGAGATTGAGGACGTGATATCCAGCAGGCAATGTCTTGGCGCAGCATCGAGGGGTGCACGGCGAAAGGCGCGCCGAAGGGCAGACCCTTTGACCTTGAAGAATTTGAGGCTGCTCCATTCCATGTTGGGGGACAAGAGCGTCCCCGCTTGGGATCGTGTTTTCGCGGGAGCAGCTCTGTGCTGCGCGTACATGCGATCCCGATGGTCCGATTTTCAGCACTCTATCTCGTGTGGGCTGGAGTGCGGGGATGATGGTGAGAGGCTCTTCCTGGAATTCACCTGTGAGGACTACAAAACGGTCAACTCTAAATTCTTTGCGGGTGCACCGCTTCGGATGATCGCTCCTGGACGGGGTATTGCTGGGCCGAACTGGCTCGATTTGTGGCACGAGGCTCGAGTGGAGGTGGGACTTACAGAGTTCGTTCCACCCCTGCCCACACCAGGCCCTGCAGGAGAACCTACCGGTGCATCCGTGAGCACTGAGGAGATGTCTTTATGGCTTCAAAAGATCTTCGTCGACCGTGGATCACTCAGAACATCTGGTCACACGCTGAAGAGGACTTTTCTTACCATGGCGACAAAGCGTGGCGTCGAGCACTTGGACCGGTTGGTTCTGGGCGGACACGCAAACTCTGCCGGGATGGCCGACACTTATGGCGATGACGAGTTGGCACGCCCCCTCCGCCTGCTCATGGCCTTGATCTCAGAGATCCGAGAGGGTATCTTTGATCCAGATGCTGGTCGCGCGGGTTATTTGCGTGGGAGTGGCTTGGAAGAGCTTCGATTGGGTTTCGGTGCCCAGACGGAAGATCGTCACCCTCCCTCTGCTGAGTCGTGGGAGAGGGTGACGGGTGACGACGACACATTTGGCTTGATCGACGCTCTTGACAAGGCAGCGCCGAGTCAGCCAGGCGCCTTCTTTCCGGGCGAAGCTGACGTGAACCTTATGGGGCAGGATTCTGTCGATGAGCCACCCGAAGCTGAGGTGGGTGACGGCGGGGTATCCTCTTTGGATGCAGAAGCCGACAAACTCATCGGCGAGGATTCTGACTCTTCTAGTTCGAGTGGATCAGCTCCGGAAGTGATGACGAACCGGCTCGGATTATGCCGCCGCCGCCGCCGGAGCCTGCGGAAGGCACAACATTTTTGCAGCATCAGAGAACTCGCTTACTGCACATGATTGCTGACAACAACCGCCGCGTACTGATGTGTGGGCGGATGGTTAGCGACTTGTACAGTCTTCCACAGCGAATCAGGTTTGACTCATCAGTGTGTCGCAACTGCAAGAAGGCAGTGGCGGACAGTCACTAGTTCTCCTTGCTGGGCTGAGCAAGATGCTTGTGTGTTGGGGGTCATCTGGTGTGCCGGTCATGCTAGGTGATGCTGCCTGTTCTTGCGGAACACAGCCCTGAATTCTCAGCTGACCTGGTGCTCGAGCCGTCTTTAGGGAGCGGCGTGTCGCTGGTTGACAGTGAGGCCTCATTTCGACAGCGATGTCAGGACGTCGGCGGTGGTGCGATTCACACTGCACTGTCTGACCAAGGGATCACTTCCTTTGCCTCGCTTGCATACTCCTGTGGCACGCCTCAGGATCGACCCTCACAGGCGGAAATGGACGCATTTGCAGCAAAGATATTGGGGGCTGCTCCCCGTTTGGGGGATGTGTCTATCTTGAAGCGATTGATGTTCGAGTCAGCCACATATGTCATAGCTCAGTTGCGTCAAGCTGTGCAAGGGGACTCTGCCGAACAGCCTCGAAAGCTTCCAATCGCCGAAAAACAGGCCAGGGCCGAAGATCAGCGCCGTCGGCTTAGTGGGGTGCATATAGAGCGTGATTTGGTCCCTTCCCATGCTTTGGTGGACCTCTGCTGTCACATGCATGATGTGGGCATTACTTGGATATCGCCGGGCAAATGCACCAGCCGCGAATCAGAAATTCAGCTTTCAACGAAGGACCAAAGCAAAGTCTTTCGACTTGAAGACAACTCGTTGAAGGTCGGAAGTGAACAGCCTAAGGACATTGCTTCTTGTGATTCGCCGATCAAGTTGCAGTGGTGCCTTCAGCGCCGCGGTCTGGCCTTGGACCAGGCCAAGGTGTTGACGTGGGCCCAGCACGAGCGATGGGTTCACTGCTTGCTTCACGCACTGACTAAGGAGTGCCCTGCAGGGTTCCACAAGCCTGATATGAATCGCATTGTGCAGGCCGATCGTGAGGCCTGGTTGATCATGGCGTCCGAGGTGCCATCACTTAAGCCCAGTGCTGCTGGCGAGTACCCTCTGGGTAAGGCTTTGGATGCTTTGAGGACTGACCCGCGGATCACCATGTACTTGATGGCTACCTGGGGCCGTGCACCGGATGTTGAGGTTCAGGACCTTGAGCAAGGCTCCCCTGCCAAGCCAGGTGAAGGTATGTCCCGAGCCGCCAAGCGCCGTCGACGTGCAAAAGAGGCGGCTACTGCGGCTGCCGCCAAGCCTGGACGGGGCACAGGCGCTCAGGCTACTACTGCACAGGCTACTACTGCACAGGCTACAAAGACACGCACCATGCCGGCTGAACTCAAGGATGCCCATCAGAAAACTGAGGACGGCAAGCCCATCTGTTGGGACCATAATTGTGCCGGCTGCAAGGCCAAGACTGAGGGAGACCCACCGCGCTGCCCTCGGGGTGTCCATGTTTGTGCTTACTGTCGTCGAGTGGGCCACTCCTTCCGTAATTGTCGTGCTCGTACTTGGAAAGGATCCGGCAAGGGTAAATCCGAGTGACAAACAGCTCTTGACTCTTCAGCTCCTCCTGTTGAGGCGGCTGCCATTTCTGGCTATGGCCCACACTCAGTGGGATTTCATTTTCCCCCCGCTGCCACTTCTGAGGTTGCCGATGTGTTGGCACCCGCGGAGGCGATAGCATTGCAATGCCTTCAGGCCGGCTTTGCTAGTCATGACGATTTTCGGAGCTTGATCACTTTGCTCCCTGCGGACACTGCCGGCGCCCCGTCAGAAGAACATTTTCTGCTTGCAGACTTTTCTTTCTTTTGGAAACTTGACAGGCAGTGAAGCTGCCGTGTTTTACATCGGAGGTTTTTGGAAAACATTTCTTGCATGAACCTCATTTCTTTGACATGGCAGATCGGAGATCTCTATCCTACCCGCGAGTCTGCTCAAAGTGAGAGGCAAGAAATTTTCTTTTCAGGCCTCTAGAGTCCCGTATTGTGCAAGCTAGAAGCCTCCAGGTGCTAATCTCAAGGCTTTAGCTGCGTGCACAGTGCCCCCCCGTTGGGGGTGCTAGATGGACGGGACGCTTCCGGCGCCTCAGCAGGTGCCAGTGACTTGCCCTGTGACAGGGCAACTTTTGCAGCAGGTCTCCACTCCGGTTGAGCCGGCACCTTTCCCGCCTGAGCCTCCTTTGTCGCTGGGGGACCTGCCTTCAGCCAGTCCCGAGTCTCTGCCAGGGGGTGTTAGGGGACTTCGGGACTTCAGGGGGTCGGTTGGGGATCTGCCTAGCCAATCCGTTGAGATTAGTGACGAAGACCAGGACCTCGATCAGGGCTGCTCGGGCTCCCCTTGGAACCTGCTACATGCGAGGGAACAGGAGGACAACAGCCCTCGGGAGTTCAGATTCTCTGAGGAGAGGGGTTTTTCAGAGTTTGATCTTGGGAGTCTCGCCACCCATCCTTCGTTGGATAGGGAACCTTCTGATTTAGCTTACGAACCCTCCCTTGCTGAGGAAAGGGAATGGTACTCGCAGGTAGGAGAGACAGATCCTCCGATAGAACTTCGTGGAGCCCTTCCTCCTGACATTGTTCAGGGGGGGGAGACGGCTTCTTGGTTGTGTGGTGCTGCTGCTGGTGATGATGCGAGACAGGCCGCCACGGTGGCCTTCTGCAAGAAGAGACGACTCGACCTGCCCTCGCTGCCTTGGAGCCAGCCCAAGACCTTTCTTCAGAAGTCCTACGATGACATTTTCAATTTTGTGCCTGCAGTGGGAGTGAGGGAAGTCTTTATGGGAGCAGCGTCTTCATCGGAGCCTGCACCAGAAGCAGCAAGTGAAATTCCATGGACTGTGGTGCGTCGCCTGACGCGTGTTCGATTGACCAAAAGTGACGATGACATTCGAGATGGGGCCTTGAAGCGTTTCAAGGTCTTGATACTGCTAGACCCGGAAGCGACTCGCCTTGGGGCAAGCCTGCTGAAACAAGGATTGGGTCTGGAGCCTGACGAGGTGATTGCAGCTAGTCTGGCGGATGCCTTTAGGGCCAAGGCCTCCACAACAATTCAGAAACGAGCTCTCTCGCTGCAATCTTTGGCTATCATGGCTTATGACCTAGGCTTCGAGTCGCCCTGGCGCTTGACCGAGCCCCAGGCCTACGAGATTTTCAACAAGCTTCGCAGCTCGGATGCCAAGGCCTCGACTGCCTCACACTTTGTGGAAGCGCTGGGGTTTCTGCACGGGGTGGCTGTTTTCAACTTCATGTCCTTGGATGTCATTCTATCATCACGGGTGCGGGGCATTGCCAGAGACATGCGACTTAACAAGGAGCCGCTCAAGCAGCGAGACCCCTTGTCGTATGCGAGGGTTAAAGCCTTGGAGGAGCTTATGACCAAGACTTCAACTTGGCTGCAATGCGTGCTCGGCCTCATGCTCTTCTGCGTGCATTCATGTTGCCGGTGGGCGGATGCTCAAAAAGTCAAGAAACTCGAGCTGATAGGTGAAGGCCGTGGGCAACTTCTTATTGCTTCAGGCTTAGGCTCTAAGACTTCTTTGACGGCTGACGCCCAAACGAAGTTTCTGCCCTACGTATGCATGGCTGGAGGGGCAAGCGGCCAACCTTGGGCGGAGTTGTGGCTACAGGCTCGTGCTGCTGAAGGCCTTGACTTCTCAGCGGGGTGCCTTCCGTCCTGGTCTCAGCGTGCCGGTTGCTGGGCCACGGTGCCTATGAGTTCGGAGGAGGGATCGGACCTCCTTGAGGAGTTCCTTCTTACCATTGGCATGGGGGCCTCTCCTGACGAATCGATTGGTACACATAGTCTGAAGGCTACCTTACTTTCATGGGTGGGATGGAGCTCCACAGTCCATTTCAGTGCCAAGGAGAAGTTGCTGCTCGGGCACCACTTCAAACGTGGTGGTTCATCTAATCTCATCTATTCCCGCCAGTACTACATCTCCCTCGCTGGGAAACTCCTTGCACTTTTCGAGAGCATCCGGGCTGGGGACTTCGATCCCGACATGTCGACTTCTGACAGGGTTGCAGCTGTAGCGTCGAGACATTTCAGCCGCCCGGAGCCAGACGCTCCGGCACCACCGAACGAGGAACCCGACGAGCTCGAGTCCTTGGCTTCGAGGTCCGCTGAGTCCGAGGCGGAATTCTTCGGGCGCCCAGCGGAGGCTACCGGGTCTAGGCTTCCCTTTACGGAGTGCACCGCCGACCAGCTGATGATCCATTCCCTGTCAAACATCGTACACAAACTTAGGGATGCTTCAAGCTTCTTTTGCGGGAGGCCGGTCACCTCAAGGTACAGAGTCTTCACCACTGAAGACGAAGAGGAACCTGAGCCTTGTATTCAGTGTCGTCGAGCATCGGAGTTTTGACCAGGTCCGGACGCCGCGGATAAAAGCCGTGGGGAACGTATGTTTGCAATCCACCTGGTGATGCCGAGATCTGTCTGCGCCTCTTAAGTCCATAAACAGTCCATGCTGATCGGCCGGCATTCGTGCCCGTGGCCGCGTACATGTAATCCTGTCGGGCTGATGGCTTAGGGCTGATACGCAAGGTTGGGCACACAAACCCCTTTTTGGGTTCCGGGCCGGTGAGTTTCTCACCCGAGGCCCGCGTGACATATCTGACGACGGAGCTTTCCGTTTTGACATATGTTAGCTTGAGAGAGAAGCGCTGGGATTGATTAACGCGGTGATGACTGTAAGTCCGAGTCACCACATGCAAATGTCAGCCGGTGTCACGCGACACCCGGGGCTGGCCTTGATGGTTGAAGACCGTATCACTTTGTGCCGGCCAGGGTTGGCTCGTGGCACGGGTGGAAGATTGAGCTGCCCATATTGCGGTCGTGGCTCACAGCAGACGGCCAGTGATGAATGCAACAAAACATCATCCGTCACGTGTTTGGTCAAAGATCACAGATCGGGTGTTTGACGCGTTCATTTGCAGCCATGACGTCAGCCACCTTGGACTCCGAAGCAGCGTTTCAGGAAAGGTGTCTTCGCATCGGCATGACACCGGAGTTGTATGGGAAGCTCAAAGAAAAAGGCTACGACACCTTCGGAAAAATTGCCTTTGCTGCTGCGAGCTCTCCTCAGGCCCTGACAGACGAGGCCATCGATGAGTGGTTGGCCACGGTCGTGGACCCGAGGCCCTCTGCGTTTCAAGTTTCTGTGATCCGGCGACTCCTCTTTGAGAGCCAGTCACTCAACATCGCGGACTTGAGGACCCGAGTTGAAGGCCAGCCGGAAAACACCATCAAGAAACTTCCTACGGCCGAGCGGCTGGCCAGACAAGAAGCCCAGCAAGCTCGCTTGAAAGGTGTTGTCTTCACTGTATCAAATCAGCCATCCCATGCGAGCATCGACCAGGTCACCGACATGTTGGAAAACAATTCTTTGCGCTACCTGCCCATGAACAGGTGGACCTCTCGTTCCCAGGAGCTTAGCTTGGCCAAGAAGGATTCATCGATCCAAATTGACCCGGAGGGCAACCTTAAGCTCGGGACCAAGGCCCCCGATCCGGTGTGCGACACGAATGGTGCCTATGCGTTTCGGCAGGCTTTCTTTCGCCGATCGCTAGCCCTAGACTTGGGCAACCTGTGCACCTTTGAGGTCATGGAGGAGTGGGTTAACTCCATCTTTGAGTTGACCCAGCGTCAGGTTCCCACGGGGTACACCAAGGTCTCCTTGTCGCAGATCGTAGCAGCCGATAAGGAGCTCTTCATCCGTGCAGCCAATAACCTTGAGGGCAAGCTTCAGAAACCGGTAGGTGCTGCTAAGCCATTGGATTCTGAGCTGAAGCGTCTGTCGGTGTCGCATGACATCACTCAATTCTTGTCACCCTTGCTCTCACCGCCTCCACCGGCCCATCCGACCAAGAGGCCCCAGGATGGCGATGATGATGCACCGCCCAAGAAAGTCAAAGTCAAAGGCAAAGGCGATAAAGGCAATAAAGGCGGGGGCAAGGGTCGTGCACCTAGGGTTGAAATACCTGAAGGTTGTTCCGCCAGAGACTCGCAGAACCGGCCAAATTGTTTTGGGTTCAATTTGGGCACTTGTAAGGCCAAGGTGGTTAAAGGCAGGTGCCCGAAAGGATATCACCAGTGCTGGAAAGTAGGATGCAATAAGAATCACCCGTACAGTGAGTGCACGCATGGCATGCAGTGAGATGGCCAATCAGGGGATGGGCCAGCTCCTGAGGCAGTCCCCTTGGCCCAACGTGCAAGCCGAGCTCCGAGCTCGGAGTGTTTCGCAAAGAAACTTAATTCAGTCGATGTGCCACCATCCCGCCTTGATCTGCAAAAGTTGCATGAACATCTCGTTGCGGATGGATTTCTACGCCCCGACGCCAGAACTCAGCAACCGAATTTTGGAGTTGGGGCTTTTTCTCAGGGAGGGCTTCAGGGTCTGCGTGGAGAGTGTAAGAGCTGCCCACAAACGACCAGAGCCATCACAGCTTTTGTCCGAGCTCAGCTCCCAGACCTTTTCTTTACTACAGTTTTCCTGTTTTGCAATTCCAGTACGTCCATGCATGTTGATTCCAAGAATCATAAGTCCCCCACAGGTGTCATTCCGATCGGATCGTTCACTGGAGGCCACATCTGGGCCCAGTGCGAACAGGGTTCGGAGCTCCGTCCTATCAACGGCAAACCGACTCCTGGCGAGCTGCTTGATGTGTCCGCTGGTCCCATCACCTTTGAGGCTTACTCCCGAAGCCACTGCACTGAACCATGGCAAGGCCACAGGCTGATTGCTGTGGCATTTTGCGTCTCGGATCTGTCGAGGCTCACCCTTGAAGCGGCACATTCCCTCTTGTCCTTAGGGTTTAGGCCCCCGACCTTCTTGGGTTTCCCGCTACAGATCGCCGAGCAAACGCAGCCCCCACGACCTGATGAGCCGTGGAGCTTCGAAATCTTTTCAGGCACCGGGGGTTTCGCTCGAGCTTGCCTTCGGAAGGGATTCAAAGTCCTCGCCTTTGACGCTAAGCTTGCTGGGGCAATGGTCCCCACGGCCAATCTGGACTTCTCCACGGAAGCAGGCCGTGAAGTCTTCATGTCCATGCTGAAACAGTGCAAACCTTTTCACGTTCACCTGGGTGTGCCTGCAGGTTCTGCATCAGCCTCACAGCGCCAAGCTTCAAAGCCCGGTCGTAGACTCCAGAGCCCCCAACTTACCAAGCTCCGAACGTCGGAACACTGCTTAGGTGTGCCCACCATCCGGTGGTCCTCTGCCGAAGGCATAAAGCTTAGGAAGGAAAATGCCCTTTTTCGCTTCTGTTTCGATGTCGTTTGCTTCTGTCTTGAAGCAAACATTTCGGTAAGTGTCGAAAACCCGGCAAATTCTTTGCTGTGGCACATTTTGCAGCGCTTCGCATCTCAGGCTGACATCAGTGACATCAGGTGGCCACCCAGCAAGCTTGAGCAAGTCACCTTTGCCATGTGCGCGCATGGGGGCGATCGCCCCAAGCAATGCAAATTTTTGGCCTCCAAAGGCTTGTTTTCTCCTTTGGCAGCGAACTGTAGCCAGGATCATGAGCATGCATCCTGGTGGTCGTCGTCCCGCCTCAGTGCGTGCTATCCGCCTTTGCTGTGCACCCGCATGGCCGATTGTGTTGCTCGCTGCGCCTCTGAGTCCAGCCGGAGTCTTTCACCAGCAACTGACTTCCACGCTGCAGCGCTGGCCGCGGCCGCCAAGCAAAGCCATCGCCATGCGCCACTTATTCCGGAGTTTCACAAGGTCACTTGGGAAACCCCTGAATTTAAACCTGACAAATCTTGCAAGATCCTCCTAACCCACGCTGCAGGGGACAGTGGTGGGGGTCTAACTTCGGATCCAGCGGGCTCTAGACCTGTTAAAGTAGGTCATTGGCTTGACATGAGTCAACATGTCTCCAAAGCCCACACTTTGCAACACCCGGTGGACAAAGCGATTGCTGCTGGCCCGGAAGTGTTGGAAGCGGTCGACTTTTGCATGACCCATGATTCTGCCAAGGCCAACCAGCTTAGGAAGCTAGAACTCCTTAAAGTTAAGCTCCTCGCCAAGACCCTTGAAGAAGACGAGCGGAAACTTCATGCATCCTTCCCGCCGTGGTTCGAGAAGGTGGTCAAAGGCAAAAGGATTTGTCTGCGGGAGTCTCTTTTGAGGAAGCATGGTTTTGACGACATGGGGGTAGTGGATCTGATGAAAAAGGGGGTGCCTCTCGTAGGGACTTCGGAAAAACCAGAGTGCTTCAAGACAAAGGTGGCTATGGCTTCCATGACTGAATCAGAACTCCGTGCTACTGCCTCCTTGCGACGCCGTGCAGCCTTGTCGAGACCGAACCGTGCGACCCCTGAGGAAACTTCTCTGGGTGGATCTGATGAAAAAGGGGGTGCCTCTCGTAGGGACTTCGGAAAAACCAGAGTGCTTCAAGACAAAGGTGGCTATGGCTTCCATGACTGAATCAGAACTCCGTGCTACTGCCTCCTTGCGACGCCGTGCAGCCTTGTCGAGACCGAACCGTGCGACCCCTGAGGAAACTTCTCTTCTTCAGGAGGCCTCTAACTCCGAGGTTGCTGAACATTTCATCGAGGGGCCCTACACTGAAGCACAGGTCACTCAGATCTTCGGCCATTCGGATTGGGGCGTAATTCCTAGATTTGTTCTTGAGCAAGGCCTTGAAAAGAAGGTCCGACCCATAGATGATGGGCACGCTTCCCAGGTCAACGAAGCTTTCACTTCCCTGATCAAGTTGGAGCTTCAAGGAGCCGACTTTGTTTCAGGCCTAGCTCTGCTGATTGCCCGGGCTGAAAAGGAACGCTCAGACCGCCTGGGTGTCCCGGCTAGGCAATGGCTAGGGCGGACCCTTGACCTTTCGAAAGCGTACAAGCAATTAGCGGTACTACCGCTGCACCGTGACATTGCCGTAATCTGCCATCCCAATGAGAAGGGGGAACCACAATTCTTTGTTGCAAACGCATTGATGTTTGGCTTGACTTCGTCGGTGTATGGATTCGTGAGGGTGGCCCGAAGCCTGCATTTCTTGCTGTGCAAAGTGCTGAAGATCCCCTCAGCAAACTACTTCGACGATTACCCTCTCTTCGCTTTGAGAGAGGGTGCCCAGGAACTTGACGGTTTGACTTCGGAATTCTTGGAACTCTTGGGGTGGCGCTTCGCCCAGACCGGGATAAAGGGTCAACCGTATGAAGAAACCTTCACGGTACTCGGAATGCAGCTGGACGTCAGCCGCCTCCACGAGGGTGTTGCGGTACTAGCCAACAAAGAAGGCCGTGTCAAGCGCATTGCCGAAATGCTTGGTAACATCTTTGACCGAGGTACCCTTGGCAGGCATGAGGCACAGGTGCTCCTGGGACTTTTAAACTACGCCTCTGGATTCTTTGCGGGCCGATCCCTAAAGCCGGCATGCCACTTCCTGCTATCCTTGGTTCGTGGGAAACGCCCGACTGCTGCCGAAATACAGCGCTTCTGCAAAACCACCCAGGCTGTCTTGAGCACCACGCCACCGAGAATCCTTCGCATCTTTGACCCGCGACCGCCCATCCATGTCTGGACGGACGGTGCTTGGGAAGACCCTTGGGCTGGAATAGGTGCGGTTGTTCTAGACACGCTAGACGATAGCGCTAGGGTTTTTGCTGGTTGTGTGCCCACTAAGCTTTTGGAGCGATGGAAGCTGGATGTGGGATCGCAGCTTATATGCGAAATCGAACTCTACGCCTTAGTCACTTTGCGTCGTATGCTCCAAAACAGCCTGTGCAACCGAAGAGTCATCTTCTGGCTGGACAACGAAGCTGCACGCACATCAGCAATCAAAGGTTTGAGCAAGAGCGAATCCATGTATCGCTTAGCCCACTATCTTGCAGTGATTGAGGCTGAGGCTCCTTGCGTTGCATGGTACGAGAGAGTGCCATCCTTTTCAAACGTGGCAGACCCTCCCTCACGAGGTGATGGGCAAAGCATACTCAGCTTGGTAGGCGCCAAGGTTGTAGAAGCTTTCATCCATGATGAGAGTTCTAACCAGAGATTTCTTCATCAGGGGTTCGCGTGATGTCAGGGGCATTCGGGACGCTGCCCCTCTTGATCTTGAAAAATCTCAGCTTGCCAAACCCGTGATGCTCGAACATCGGTTTGGCCGGAGCTGTGGGGGCTCCCGAATTAGAATTCACCCCAGATCACCGTGCGAATAAAAAGAGTGTGGCGCGACAACTCCTGGGATCCTCCTTTTATATATTGTGAGGATCTGATACTTTATACTCTTGGTATTGAAATATATTCCAATATTATTTGAAGGATTCTGTCTTATATGATTGAAGTCCGTGATATTTGATATCACTCAACCTTTTTGTAAAACATCAGGTTTCTGAAAGAAGAACATTTTCTGCTTGCAGACTTTTCTTTCTTTTGGAAACTTGACAGGCAGTGAAGCTGCCGTGTTTTACATCGGAGGTTTTTGGAAAACATTTCTTGCATGAACCTCATTTCTTTGACATGGCAGATCGGAGATCTCTATCCTACCCGCGAGTCTGCTCAAAGTGAGAGGCAAGAAATTTTCTTTTCCCACCCTCCCACCCAATGAGGACGGGGGGGCATTCGGGACGCTGCCCCTCTTGATCTTGAAAAATCTCAGCTTGCCAAACCCGTGATGCTCGAACATCGGTTTGGCCGGAGCTGTGGGGGCTCCCGAATTAGAATTCACCCCAGATCACCGTGCGAATAAAAAGAGTGTGGCGCGACAACTCCTGGGATCCTCCTTTTATATATTGTGAGGATCTGATACTTTATACTCTTGGTATTGAAATATATTCCAATATTATTTGAAGGATTCTGTCTTATATGATTGAAGTCCGTGATATTTGATATCACTCAACCTTTTTGTAAAACATCAGGTTTCTGAAAGAAGAATCTGTGGACCCGACAGCTCCCAAATCTTTCACATCCGGCGCATATGTCCATCAGGCCAAAGCCGGACTGCGTTCTAATTTTCACGCCTTTCCTTTCAGCACTATGCTTCTCGCCGCCGTCTTGTCGGCGTCTTTTGGCTCTCGCTGCTTCTCGTCTGTTGGACTTTTCTTGAATTTGAAGGCGCCTCTGCGCAACGACGCCAACAACGATCATGCCCATCCCAACCTGATCTTGCCTGCCTCTGTTTTCCACAATGGCCAGATTTGGGTTGAGGGTAAAGGCGAGTGCCCGTGCCCCGACCCCGACGTGCCACGTCTGGGTTACTTGCTGCCTGTTGCCGACGGCCCACAGTTGCTTCCTTCAGAGCGGTTGCACGCAACTTGCGACTGGGAGGGTACTCGTTTGTTGATTGTTGGCTTCTGCATTCGTGACACTGGCCTCCTGTCCGAGGCACATCGTGCTCGACTCCTTGATGCTCGTTTCCTCCTGCCTCAGGTTGAGTCCGGATCGGCCTCAGACGATGTGCTCCCTGTGCCACCGCCCAAGCGGCCCAAGGTTGCCTACCGACCCCCGCTTGCCCTTCCCTAACACCGCTAGGTTTGCCTGACGCCGGACCATCGACAAGTGCATCAACCTCCAGGCATACTGGACTGCAGGAGGCCTTTCCTCAACAGGCCACGCCATTGGTTATCGAGATCTTTGCCGGCACGGCTCGGCTTAGCACTGCCTGTCAGAAGCTGGGTTTCCGAACGCTTGCAATCGATAAATCCACCGCACGTGGACGCTTCCCCATACAACGTCTTGACCTCACCGATGCTGACGACCTTTGCATTCTTCTGGATATCATCCGTCTTGAGGCCAATATTGTCTGGATTCATTGTGCGCCGCCGTGTGGCACCGCGTCTGCGGCGCGCTCCAGACCCATTCCGGAATTGACGGCTGCTGGTGTTCGGGTGCCGCAGCCTTTGCGCAGTACTTCCGAACCCCAAGGACTCTCCACTTTGACCGGCGCGGATCTTGAACGGGTCCAGCAGGCCAATATGCTCTACCGTGCTGTCGGGCAAATTGCTGACCTGGCTCGACAATTGAACATCTTCGTCACCGTGGAAAACCCGCGCAACTCTTTGGCTTGGTTGTGCGATGGTCTGGACGATCTGTTCCGATCACCACATCACACCGTGGTCTACGGTCTACGATGCCTGCATGCATGGTGGCACACGTGACAAAACCACCTTGTTGTGGTGCTCTGCTGATTGGTTTCAGCCTCTCGCTCTTCGGTGCTCACGTGACCACCAGCACGCTTCATGGAAACCTCGTTTACAACCACATGCTACCTCTTTCCCGACTGCCGATGAAGCTGCATATCCGGTGCTGCTTTGTGAACGAATGGCCCACATCATTGCCGAACGTGCTGGTGGACTAGCGCTTGCTGTGCCCGACCCACGCCCTTTTTCGCAGGTATACTTGCAGCGACAGCCTCGTTTTGCACGGCCCTTGGTTGCCTGCTATTCTGGAAGTGATGACTGGGCCATCCCTGTTCGATCCGATGATCTTGCCTCCACACTGCTGGCTTGCTACCCAAAGGGAGCGCGCATTATTCAACGCAAACTTGTGTCCTGGGGTATGGTGCGGGTTTGCGTGCCTACCTGTCATCGTTGTATTACAAATACCCCCAACAGGTGAAGATCGCTGATTGTACTGAGGAGGACCACCTCAAGCATGACGAAACAGTCGCGATAATGGGTTTCATTGGGGCAGACGATCCGTGCTCCGAGCATGCGGAGATTGTTTCTGTTGGAATACCTAAAGAACCTTGCGACTTCGTGGCGGATGCCGTGAAGGCTGGACATCCTAGGAATGCTCTGAACGCGAGCCGGGAAGGACCTTCTTCCAAAGTTGCAGATGCCATTCTCATGGATTTCGAACAGAGGGAGCGGCTTGCCTCACAAACCAAGGATCGTTGGAGTCGGATTGCGGCTACAACTAAGCCCTTGAATCAGAGCATGTTGAAGAACAAGCCGGACCACATTGTGACCGCGTTAGGGGATAAGAATCTTTTGGCCTGGAAAAGTATTCTTGGTGACAATGGCTTCCCGGACCAACAACTCTGGTCCGACCTGCGCGATGGACTTAGACTGACTGGATGGATGCGGGACACGGGAATCTTCGACAAGAAAGTCCGTCCCCCGCAAACATCGCTGGAGCACCTGCTAAGTCAATCCCAGTACCAAACACCGCTGACCTTGAAAAGGCTACAGAAGACTGTTGTTGACATCACGGCACGCAAGGCGTGGGCTGAAACGGTGGAGGAAGAGAAAAAGGGATGGATCTTTCGGGATGAAAATGCAAATCTCGATGACATCGTCTTGGCTCATCGTTTCGGCTTGCAGCAGAAAGACAAAGTTCGTGTAATCGACAACGGCAAGGAGTGTGGCCTCAACTTGGCTTGTGGGCTACCAGAGAAGTTCACCTTGCATGGAGTGGACGTGCTTGCTGGAGTTTTCATTGAGTTGCTCAACCGTCCTGAAGCTGCCGGCAAAAGGATCAAAGGGGAAACCATAGATCTGGTGTCTGCGTACAAGTTTTATCCAATCCACCCTCAAGACAGGCGTCATCTGAGGATCGGGGTCTATGACACCGACTCTGGCATGGTCAGGATTTATGGAACCAACGTTCTTCCTTTCGGTGCCACCGGAAGTGTGGCAGGTTTCCTGCGAGTTTCGGCGGCGATTTGGCATACGGGTATCCAGGACCTTGGCCTGGGATGGTGTGCCTACTTTGACGATTTTCCTTTGATGGCCCTTGAAGGTCATGAAGACCAGGTTGGGGGATTGGCTGGAGAAGTGTTTGACGCACTGGGGATCCAATACGCAGAGGAGGGGAAGAAGGCAACTGACTTTGATTACACTTTTGCCGCCCTGGGATTGCAGTATGACTTGACGAGATTCAATGAGGTCGTGGTCATCATTCGGCATACGGAGGCACGTACTGCTGAGCTGGTGGAGACGCTCGAGGGAATCTTACGTGATGCTGTACTTCGACCTAAGGATGCGGAAGTTTTGAGGGGAAGGATGCATTGGTTTACTTCGTATCTTTTCGGTCGTGCGCCGTGTGAGGCGATGAGACAGATCTCCTTGAGGGCTCAATGCATGGACTCATGCACACGGCTCACTGACGACCTGACCGAGGCGATTCGAACCTTGCTCCGCTATGTAGTGGACTCCAGGCCATTAGAGCTGAGGCAAACGACAGGGCGCGAGCTGTATGTTTTTACAGATGGCTCGTATGAGCCCACGGCTGAGAAGCGCGCCGACATTGGTGGCGTCCTCTATGACAGCGCTGGCACGCCATTGTCCTTCTTCTCTGCACAGGTGAACGAGGACGATCTGCGGGCTCTTGAGGAAACTTCTGATCATCCGATATATGAGGTGGAACTGTATGCCGCATTGGTTGCATTTGAGATTTGGGGACCCTTATTGGAGGATTCCTTTTCCGTTTTTTACCTTGATAACGAAGCCGCTCAGTCAGCACTCATCGCGGGCCGTTCGGGCACGGATCATGGAAGGAAGCTGGTCCAACGTTTCTTGGACGCCGAGCACAGGTGGCGGGCAAGGCCATGGTTCGGGCGAGTCCCGACCAACTCGAATCCAGCGGATGAGCCAAGCCGCGACTGCTGCAAAAGGCTCTTGAATCAAGGCGCTCAGCGGATGCATACTAGTGGTGAGAGGATGCTTGTTTGAGGGAGCGGCTGCATGTGTGCACGGTGCTGGGGGTATGATCGGGTGCGCAAGCTCTCGACTTATCTCATCGACACATGTGTCTTGCATTGGATGCTTGTGACCTTGGGGCCGATGGAGATATCAAACTTTTATCGTTTCGACCCCACGGCATCGCGCAATATCATCATAGCAAAACGAAGGCTGCTGAGCGAGTGACTGCGTTCTTATTTAACATTATTCTCGGAAATATATTGGAGTGACGTGAAGAGGAATATTCATGATATTGTCCATGTGTTTGTGGAACAGGAAATAAGTCTTCATCACTTGTGATTATCACTTTATTTCCTTTTTCACAACAACCGTTGTCGGGTTACGACAAGGTTGAACATGGAGATTTTCATGAGATTTCCGTTTTTCACGATTTGCTCTCTTTTACTTTCACGCATGAGCATTGAGAAACATGGGCATTTGAATGACGATCCGAAGGCAAAGTTTCTTGCTCAAGTGGGCAGGAACCACACAGTCTCGCCCCGAGATAGTGGGTTCTCTTGAGCCTGAGCGAAGGCCCTCGCGTGGGCCGCCTTGGACAAACTTAGGAAAAACTTTCTTGTGCCAGCATGATTTTCTTGATGCACTTCCTTTGTTTTCTTGAAGCTTTTTGCAAACCTCTTTGCGGTTCCGGTCAGTTCGTGCAATGCCATCTCACATGCAGAGTTGTGTGCTCAAGCCGAGCAAAAATTTTTGTCAGGCTCTCTAAAGGCCCTTTACTTGCTTCCTAGCAGGCTTCGGGCGCTAATTCCAAGGCTGTAGTTTTCTGTGCTTCCCGCAACAGTCGGGAAGCCTATGGACAGGCGCCTTCGGCATCCGCCTCCGCCTGTCAGACGTTTGCTTCTCTTGTGGCTGTGGGGGCGCCTGCCCGTCCGAGGTTGGCAGTCCGTGATTCTGCAACCTGAGCCTCCTCCTCAGGTCGGGCTGCCTCAGCTGCTGGGAGCCGCATCTTCTGGTGCTGACGTCTTGCTTGCTCTCGGTGTGCATCAGCTCCGTGCTCTGTCTTGCGTGTCTCGTGAAGTGGCGCGAGTCTTCTTGGAGATCCGACAGGCGGTGACTCGTGCTGTCCGCTCCCTTGCAAGGGCTTATCACAGTGCTTGACGTTATGTCCTTTGCATCGAGTTCGGCTGTGCCACCAGCTGCTACGGTTGATGAAGTAGAAGGACCCTCGGTAGTCCCTGACCCCGCCTCCCCGCATGGGGCCCTGCCCCCCGCAGTGCCCGACGGTCCTTTATAAGGGGTTCAAGTTGGGGGTTGTTTGGATGATTTTGATAGTCTGCTTCAAGAGCTTTCTGAGGAGGTCCAGTACCCTTTTCCTCCACAGCCTCCCGAACTTTTCTGCGACTTCCCTGAGGATTGGTGCGAGGATCAGCAAGTTGCAAGTAGTGTCTTCTCGAAACAGGGAGCCTCCTTGTTGTCGGACACAAGCGATGTCGTCTTGCAAGAGGGAGCCTCCTTGTTGTCATATTCGCCATCACCAGGGCGGGGCGACGGAGTTGACTCCGCGGCTTTGGGTGCCGCATCAAATACTTCAGTCGGCGGGCTAAGCAGCTCGCGCAGCAAAGAAACTGAACGCCTTTCTTGTGCGCGGGACGACGCCCTGGGCTCCTTTGTTGGGGGATTAGTCGAGTTTGATGTTGCTAAGTTTGGTAATTTCGACTTGAGCCTTCAACTGCCGTGGGAGACCGATTTTGCAAAGGGCCTGCTTGATCCAGATTGTGTATGGGACCCCTTGAATGGCTTCAAGCAGGATTCGAAGATTCCTCCTTTGTCGATCCCAACTCCTGGAAATCCACTATCCAAGCAACCTGCCAAGGAGTGTAATACTGGTGCGATCTTTGCTTGGGCTGTGTCACTTGGTGCTGCGGCCAGGGACCCTGCAGCTGAGAGAGAGCGAAAGTTCGACCAAGGTGTGTGCATGTGGAGCCGGTTGGTCCTGAGATATTCGGCATGCTGCACGCTTTATGATTGTGTATTAGATGGCCAAGGTGCAGGCGAGAACATTTATGTTTTGATCGAAGCTGCAGTCTCAGCGGCCGTGGGAGTCAAGTCGCCACACACCATCCATAAGAGAGCGGCTTCCTTTTGGGCTTTCGTTCGTTGGGTAGATGCCCATGAGCCTCAGTCTGCCGAGAAGTTGCACGAGGTACAAGTGTGGAACTTTGTGCAGTTCCTTAAAGCTTCCGAGGCACCCGCATCAAAAGCATCGTCTGTGATCAGCTCCTTCAGATTTGCGCACTTTGTGCTGGGGTTCAAAGTCTCGGGCATCATCGAGTCAAAACGAATTTGCGGTGCCGCGGAGCAGCAACTTGTGAAGGTCAGGAAATTGAGACAAGCCCTAGATCTTAGGGTTTCGCAGATCCTTGAGCTTCATGCGCGGCTGGAGTCCGGAGATCTACACTGCTTCGACAGGGCTCTTCTCGCATCCATCTTGATTAGGCTGTATGCCAGGGCACGTCCCAGCGACTTCTTGTTTATCGAATCGGTTGAGGTCGACTGCCCCGCCGATTCAGACTACCCTCTGCTAGTCTTTGAAGTCTCTGAGCACAAGGGGGCAAGAAAAGTTCAGCTTAAGAATAAGCTCCTTCCAATCTTGGTGCCAATGATCGGAGTGCATGGAAAGTGCTGGATCAACGAGGCGTTGAGCGCCTCTAAGGACGCTGGCAGAGCATTGCCTGTTGTGCGGGGGCCATTGACTCTTGCTCCTAGGGATGCATCTGGAACAATCCCTTCTGCGCGGTCTATCACTTCTGCTGAGGTGGGCCGTGCCTTGCGTATGCATCCGTGCCGAGAGTTACTGCATACTCTCTTCGGGGCACCTGCTTAGGTTGGGGGAGTAAGTTTGGTTTTGACGAGGACCTCAAAAGTATACTGGGCAGGCATGCCTCGTCTGTCAAGACTACTCAGGCCATCTACAGCAGAGAGCTTGCGGCCGCCCCAGTGCGAAGGTTGCAAGACTTGATCAGAGAGATCGTGGCTGGGCGGTTCATGCCCGACAGCAGTCGGTCGAGTTACTTCCCAAAGATGCCGAGCACCAAGGAAGCTGGAAAAGCAATCACGTGTCAGGACGGTTCGCCTCCTGGAAAAGGTGTGGTCAAGATTGAAGTGTTCAGTAGTGACGAGTCTGGTTCAGAGCCGGGAGATTCGTCTGATAGCGAGTCCTCTGGATCGTCTGCAAGTTCTTCGAGCTCTTCTCCGCTCAGCCCATTGTGCGACGGTGGAAGAGAGCCAAAGTGGAGTCTACTGACCAGGTGTGGTATGTTCACACCGGTAGTGGAGTTTTGCATCTGCTCGCGAGTCCTGAGGAGGCTCCGATGTTGCTCGCGTGTGGGCGACCAGTGAATAAGAATTACCGGGAGGCTACGAGAGAGGAAGTATCTCGTGGGACAGAGTGCCGGACATGCAGGCGAAATGTTTGATGTGAGATCAAGGCTGAAGTCGGCCCCAAAGAAAAAAGGATGCGAAAGGAGCGAAGGTGCTCCGAGCGTATGTGCTCCGAAAGTCGATACGACTTCTTGGGGGTGTGCGTGCTGTCACCTTGTTGATGTTCCCGCTTGAGCCTTGCTTGAGTCAGTGTGTGCAGGTTTGGCTAGCCTCTCGAGTTGAGGTATGAGCGAAGGTGCTCGGAGCGCATGTGCTCCGAAAGTCGATACGACTTCTTTGGGGGTGTGCATGTTTTCACCTTGCTGCTGATGCCACTTGAGCTTTGTTTGAGTCAGTGTGTGCAGGCCTGGCTACTCTTTCGAGCTGAGGTGGATCGATTTCCGCTAAAGCTTTTGGGCTCAGTGTGACCTCTTTGGTAGAGAGCACCCATCACTTCACCTCGAGATGCACCGAGGTCGGTCTTAGCCGGGACACGCTCCGTGCTTTTGCAGCTCATGGAATCGACGCTTTGAGTAAGTTGGCTTACTCGTGCGGGCAACCGGGGGCGCCGTTGCCTCAATCGGATTTTGATGACTTCATTGCTACCGTGATACCTGCAGCTCTCTTGGGCGAGAAGGGAAGTGTGAAGAGGCTCATCTTTGAGAGTCAGGCATTACTGCTCACTGATCTGCGTGAACAAGTTACGCAGCCCGACAAGTGGGCTACCAAAAATGTGCCGACCGTCGAACGGCAGAAGAGAATGGAAGCTGTGAAAGCCAGCATCCCAGGAGTGTTGGTTGAAGGGTCCTTGGAGCCGTCGCATGGGCTCCTCAATGCTGCTTGCCGCATGGAACGTGAAGGCCAGCTGCGCTACATTGCACCTGAGCAGTGTGGCACAAGAATGTATGAAATCCAGAACGTCAAGGCGCAGAGCAAGGTTCTTTCTTTGGAAGAGGGCAAGCTTGCGATTTCAGAAGAAAAGGATTTGCCTGAGGTCACTTGTGGGTCCGCCTTGTTGCTGCAGGAGGCTTTGAAAAGGCGTGGGATCGCCCTTCAGTTTGCGGGTGTGGCTTCGTTCCTCGCTCACGAGAAGTATGTACTGAAGCTCTTCGGCTACATGGGTCGAGAGCCCCCTCCGGGGCACGCGAGATCGAGGGCGAGATTAGCCCAAGGCGCAGCCCCGCTGGCACCTACCCCGTGGACGATGCACTGTTACCCGCGTTGCAATCTTATGATGCAGAATGATCCGCCCTGGGGACGGGACTAGCCCGCGCGAAGACGCGCGAAGCGCGCGCGCGAAGCGCGAAGCCGCGCGAAGCCGCTAGCCCGCGCGAAGACGCGCGAAGCGCGCGCGCGTGAAGCGCGAAGCCGCGCGAAGCCGCGCGAAGCCGGCGCGAGGCGCGCGAAGCGCGCGAAGCCGCGCGAAGCGCGCGCGAAGCGCGGCGCGCGAAGCACGCGCGAAGCCGCGCGAAGCGCGCGCGAAGCGCGCGGCGCGCGAAGCGCGCGAAGCCGCGCGAAGCGCACGCGAAGCGCGGGCGCGCGAAGCCGCGCGAAGCGCGCGAAGCCGTGCGAAGCGCGCGAAGCCGCGCGAAGCGCGCGCGAAGCCGTGCGAAGCGCGAAGCGGCGCGAAGCCGGGCGCGCGCACACGCACGAAGCCTCGCGAAGCAGCCTGCGCGAAGCCGCGCGAAGCCACGCGAAGCGCGCGAAGCCGCTATAAAGCCGCGCGAAACCGAGCCCGCGCAGGGGCACGCGCGAAGCCATGCGAAGCAGCCCGCGCGAAGCCGCGTGCGCAGGTGTGCGCACGCAGAGTGCGCGCAGGTGCACGCACGAAGCCACGCGAAGCAGCCCGCGCGCGAAGCTGCGTGAAGCCGTGCGAAGCCGTGCGCGAAGGTGCGCGCACGCAGGTGCGCAAAGCCGGCGTCTGGTGCGCGAAGCCGCACGAAACATACCCAGATGCGCGCGCGAAGCATGCGCCGAGTCACGCGAAGCAGCTCTCGTGAAGCCGCGCGAAGCCGGCGCGAGCCGTGCAAAGCACGTGCGAAGCCACGCCAGCAGCCTGCATGCGCTTCGCTTCGCGCGAAGCCGCATGTGTATGTGCATGTGTGTCTGTGTGTCTGTGGTGATTTGTATATGTATGTATGAAATCCCCTCATCCGTTTAATAAAACGACGATCCATCGCTGGCCGCGAAGGTGCAAAACAAAACAAGCGAGCTCTGGATCTGCCTGCACAGGGAGTGAAGCTGACACGTGGGAGAGAGAGAAAGTGATCGAGTCTGTAGAGGGCAACCACATCATTACCCAACATAGCTCGGTGGGGTGAGCGACAAGGAACATCATCAAGATCAAATCCCCACGCAAGTAGTAGTAGCAGTAGTTGTAGTAGTAGCAGCAGTAGCAGTAGTGGTAAGTAGCACGACATCAAGGGAGCTGGTGCTCGCCTCTTCGAGCATATCAGTCATAGGGTCAATCGAGTCAGTTTCACACCAAGTGCGTGCACCGCGGCAATCGCCCGCAATGTGCTGAGCCCGGTCGCACAGCGTTCAATTGAAAATAGTAGTAGTAGTAGTAGTAGTAGTAGTAGTAGTAGTAGTAGTAGTAGTAGTAGTAGTAGTAGTAGTAGTAGTAGTAGTAGTAGTAGTAGTAGGGCCTGTAATCACTCACCTGGCATGTCTACATACCACAGACATGCGTCGGGCCGGGACGCAGCGCATGTCACCTTGCCGCCGGAGCTGCGCCGTCGAGTCGACGCTATCGCCGAACTCGTGCCTGCCGTTCTATCACAGCACGGCAGCTACGTATAGTCAACGGGCTCAGTTCATGTTGACCATACTAGCAGATCAATGTATAACACAGATGAGGAAATGCTGTGCCATCTGTGCCACAAGCAGGACCTCGCACGACACGAATCAGCATACACGCAGAGACAAAGCTCCAAGCTACAGCCAGCCAAAGCACAAGCATTCTCCTAGTTGTAGGTCTGCCAGCCTTCGTCATGGTGAAGCGAGCCGCGAAATGCATGCTGTGCAGCAAAACGCGCGCTCTGCGCGAAGTCAAGAAGGAAAGCCTGCTGGAGGCTGCGAAGGCAGCTGCGAAGAAGCCACTTCCGAGGCGGTGGGGGTCGACCTCGTTTGCATCGGGTCTGCACGTTAATTACCTGTTAGCTTACGTTGGAGTCAGGACAACAGTACTGTGAAAGGCCGCGGCGAGGGAGGTCTCTGCAGAGGCCGCCTATCAGGACTCTTTGCAGGGTTTAGGGGTCTTGGTTCATGGGTTCCTGTTGGAGGAGGTGTCATGTCCTTGGCATAATTCTGTCGTTTCTCAGCATCATCCCGGAAGACAGTGACGGGGATGTTTGATCTTGGCTCCTTGTTCAGAGGGTTTTGGGGTTTTGGTTCATGGGTTCCTGCTGGAGGAGGTGTCATGTGGAGTCGGGGTTGGCTTACTGTGAAGGCAGAAGCGTCAACATGAAACGATGACGGTCTAATCGCACTCGAAAACACATCAGCATCAGCAGCGCTTGTAACCTTACCACATTTACCATTTGCTTCGTCCATCCCGGGTTGGGCAGCCATACAGCGGTGACTTCTCATGTTGCAATCACGCAGATCTGCCCAACTCACTGCAGTTGATTCTACTGCTAAGAGCACCCCATCCAAGCGCAGCACATGGCTTACGTCGTGCGTGAAGCGCTCCGGCTCTTCTTTTCCGCGCTCCAGCTCAGAGGAACTTGCCCAGCGTCGGGTCTTCGTGGAAGACAGTAACGCCGATGTTTGATCTTGCCCCCCTGTTCTACTGCGAAAGGTCGCGGCGATGGAGGTCTCGACAGAGGCCGCCCATCAGGACTCTTTGCAGGGTTTAGGGTCTTGGTTCATGGGTTCCTGCTGGAGGAGGTGTCATGTCCTTGGCATAATTACGTCATTTCTCCGGATCATCGTGGAAGACAGTGACGGGGATGTTTGATCTTGGCTCCTTGTTCAGAGGGTTTTGGGGTCTTGGTTCATGGGTTCTGGTGGAGGAGGTGTCATGTGGAGTCGGGGTTGGCTTATTGTGAAGTGAAGGTAGAAGCGTCAACATGAAACGATGACGGTCTAATCGCAGTCGAAAACACATCAGCAGCAGCGATTGTAACCTTACCACATTTACCATTTGCTTCGTCCATCTCGGGTTGGGCAGACATGCAGCTGCGAGTTCTCATGTTGCAATCGCGCAGACCTGCCCAACTAACTGCAGCTGATTCTACTGCTAAGAAAGGGCAGCGCATGGCCTACGTGGTGCATGAAGCGCTCTTGCTCTTCTTTTCCACGCTTCAGCTCAGAGGAACTTGCCCGGCGTCGGGAGGAGGTGCTCGCCAGCTTGGGCAGCTGGTGCCAAGCACTCAAGGCTGGGTTAAGGTAACGATAATTATAATTACTTATAACCCGCAATTAAGGTACTTATAACCTTATACTTTATAAGTCCCATGATCCTCCTAGGGTTCTCAGGTTGTTCAAAATTTTTTTAGAGGTCAACGGCGCCATATGGATTTCGGAACTACTTCGAGTCGACTACAGACCAACGTGTGCTTGCAAGCCGGCCAGCCTCGGTAAACGTCCCAAGTTCGGAGTATGCAGCTTCACATGAAGAATACATTCGTTGAAACAACACTTTTAGGATGCATGCACGTGGGCTCATATATATATATATATATATATATATGCACGCACAAAGTCCCGCGCGAAACCCGCGCGAAGAGCGCGTGTGAAGTGCACGAAGCGCGGGGCGTGCGAAGGGCGCGAAGCGCGCAAAAAGCCGCGCGAAGAGCCGCGCGAAGCCAACCGAAGGGTGCGAAGCGGCGCGAAGCGGCGCGAAGCCGCGCGAGAGGCGCGCGAGAGGCGCGTGAGATGCGCGAAGCGGCGCGAAGCGCGCGAAGCAGCGCGAAGCGCGCGAAACGCGCGAAGCGCGCGAAGGTGCGCGGAGGCGCGCGAGAGGCGCGAAGCGGCGCAAAGCGCGCGAAGGAGCGCGGAGGCGCGCGGAGCGGCACGAAGCGCGCGAAGCGCGCGAAGCCCGCGAAGGTGCGCGGAGGCGCGGGGAGGCGCGCGGAGCGCGCGAAGCGCGCGAAGCCGCGCGAAGCGCGCGAAGGCGCGCGGAGGGGTGCCATCAGAGGCGCGCGAGAGGCGCAAAGCGGGCGCGGAGGGGTGCCATCAGAGGCGCGCGAGAGGCGCAAAGCCGGCGCGGAGGGGCGCCAAAGGCGCGCGAGATGCGCGAAGCGGCGCGAAGCGCGCGAAGCGCGTGAAGCCGCGCGAAGCGCGCGAAGGCGCGCGGAGGGGTGCCATCAGAGGCGCGCGAGAGGCGCGAAGCGGGCGCGGAGGGGCGCCAGAGGCGCGCGAGAGGCGCGAAGCGGCGCGAAGCGCGCGAAGCCGCGCGAAGCCACGCGAAGCGCGCGAAGAGGCGCCAGAGGCGCGCGAGAGGCGCGAAGCGCGCGAAGCGCGCGAAGGCGCGCGGAGGCGCGCGGAGGCGCGCGGAGGCGCGAAGCGCGCGAGGCCGCGCGAAGCCACGCGAAGCGCGCGAAGAGGCGCCAGAGGCGCGCGAGAGGCGCGAAGCGCGCGAAGCGCGCGAAGCGCGCGAAGGCGCGCGGAGGCGTGCGGAGGTGCGAAGCGCGCGAGGCCGCGCGAAGCGCGCGAAGCCACGCGAAGCGCGCGAAGAGGCGCCAGAGGCGCGCGAGAGGCGCGAAGCGCACGAAGCGCGCGAAGGCGCGCGGAGGCACGAAGCGCGCGAGGCCGCGCGAAGCCACGCGAAGCGCGCGAAGGCGCGCGAAACGTGCGAAGCGCGCGAAGCGCGTAGGGCGCGCCCCAGGGGGACCATATTCTTATGATGTCACTGTTGCGCTGCTCCCCAGGGAATCCTCTAAGGATGGCAAGAAGCGGTTTGCTCCGACCAAGAAGCATCCGAGTGAGCGTGAACAGAAGGTTGGCAAAGGTGACGGAGGCAAGGGTTCTGGCAAAGGCAAGGGCAAGCGTCCAGCATGGCAGCCAAGTGTGCCGGAGGCTATACGCAAACTCGACAAGAAGCGCATTTGTTTCTCCAGGAATCTGCCTTGTGGTTGCACCCTTGACCCGTGCCCGAAAGGTCTTCATGTTTGCGCACTGTGTTTCTCCCCCGACCATGGCATCCAGGAGTGTCCACAGCGCAAAAAGTGACATCCGCGCCACACTGCGGATGTGCATATGGTGACCGATGACGGAGAGGGCATCGCAGCAACAATTGCCGCGACCTCGACTGGAGGTCAAGACTACCCATTGCATGATAGCAGCTTGGTTGCACCGACCGGGTCAGAACTCGTTGTGTCAGAGCATCCAGCTGAAAAATTTTCTGCAAAGTGTGAGCCTCCTGTGCTGGCTGACATCTTGAAATTAATTACACTTTTGGAGTCTGAGAAACCTTCACGAGGTCAATCTTCTGAGAACACCTTTTCTTGGACTTCAGGCGCATACGCTAAAGGTCCTTTGCGAGGGCTTCGGAAACATGCTTCTGTTTTCCCCGCTTGTACGCGCATGCTTTACAGGCTTGTGCTCCAAGCTTTTCCGGAGGCCGATTTTGGCGCGGTTGCAGTTTTTAAGTATTTGCGAACACCTCTACATGTCGACATTAACAACTCTCCGGGATCGGTAAATTACTTGATTCCTGTGTCCTCTTTCACAGGTGGCGAGGTGTGGCAAGAAGGACAGGGATCCGTTGTTGTGCGCGATGAGTTGGGCCATCCACTCATGGGCTCGCTCCTTCCGGTTGCAGATGGGCCCTGTGTCGTAGATCCGCGACGCACCCATTGTACCATGCCGTGGGTCGGTGAGCGAGTGCTTCTCGTTGCATTTAAGCCTGCGCACACTCGTGATTTGTCCATAGCCTTCAAGCAGCAACTCCAGAGCTTAGGCTTTCCGAGCCGGGCATTAGGTTTGTGTGCGTCGGAGGCAAATTTGTTGCCTCCATCACCGCCTCTGCCAGAGGCCAGCTTGCTGCCGATGAGACCGGTTCTTCCGAACTCTGATGTCGTTTGGAACGACCCCCTTGTTATCGAGCTCTTTGCGGGCAACGGCCGTGTCACTGCTTGCCTCAAGCAGTTGGGACTTTCGGCTGCTGGGGTTGACCGTGATCCTAGTAAGTCCGTGTCCTTCTGTCTACCGGCGGACTTCACCTCGGCTCGAGGCCAGAAGCTGTGCAAGGAGTGGCTCGCCTCTCCTAGATTGGCCGGCATTTTTGCTACGCCCCCAGCCTTCACTGCTGCCAATGCTGATGCAATCACATTCTTGTTGCATGCGTTGTCCACAGCCTTGACCAATGGAGTCCTTTGTGCCGTCGCGAATCCTCGACAAAGTCGCTTCTGGCAAAACCCTCAGTGGAGGGCCGTTGCCTCCTCTTTTCGTTTTGTTGCCTGCCAGGAGTGTACCTTCGGCGGCAGACATGACGATCACACCGTTTTCGCAGTGTCAGATAGTGGCTTTGACAAGTTGGCTCGTTCCTGCCCCGGCCCTCCGTGCAAAGTCTTGAATCGCTGCCCCGATCCTGGCACCGGTTACCCTGCTCACCTCGCAATGCAAGTAGCATGCTGCTTCGCCGAAGTTTTCGTCAAGAAAGGTTGGCAACCGCCTAGCCAATGTTTCGATGCATTCGACCCTCGACTTCAGGTGCCGATGTCACGCGCTCTAGCAGGTGCTCAGCCTCCGGCTAGCAAGATTCCTCCGCTCGTCCCGGAACATAAGCGTGTGGTCGTGCTTCGCCACCCGCCTGGCCTCCAACTGCCGTGCCAGCCCATGCAGCGTCTTACTACAGATTGGCTCGTGCCTCAGGGGTGCCATGCTCCCTGCGCCTGCATTCCTGCGAAATCCCAGCTTCTCAGGCACGTGCCGATAGGTCAAAGTGGGGGCGACGAGACTGTGAAAGTAGGTTTGTGGGAAATGGCTTGGGGAATTCCTTGGGACCCAGAAGAGTTTATGAAGACGGCCAATGAGTCCAGCCATCCTCGGACCATTGGATCTGTGCTCCCTCAGCCACTCAAGGATTCTCTTGATGCATTGGACGAGAAGAATGACGCCGAAGTAACCGAGCTTAGAGCTAGGGTTATTAAGGAATGGGTTCACCTTTCGGTTTCCCTTGCTCAGGATGAAGCAAAGCTGAAAGCAAGCATGCACCCTGACGTCCGTGCTATCACCGAACCGAAACGCATCTTGTTGTGGGAGTCTCTGATGGCGAAGTACGCTTATCCTGACCCTGGAGTGTCCAGTCTCCTCAAGGAAGGGATTCCCTTAGTGGGTCACGCGCCCATCTCGGGTGTCTTTAAGCCGAAGTTCAAACCTATGCAAGCCACGCCAGAGCGAGTGCGTGAGGATTTTCATGATTTTCGGAAAAAGGTCCATAAGTCCCTTAAACCCCAGGAGCACTCCCTAATGTCCGAAGTTTTTGAAAAGACTAAGAAAGAGCTAGAGGCGGGCTGGATCATTGGCCCTCTTTGCGAATCCAACTTGTGCTCAGGAACTTTGGTGAGCAGGCGGTTCGGATTGCGGCAAGGCCCGAAGGTTAGGTGCATTGACAACTTGACTTCGTCTGGGGTAAACTTAGCAGTGCAGGCTTATGAAGCTCCCCAACCGCAGTCCACTGATGTGGTGGCTTCCACGTGCCAGCGTCTTCTTAGGTACATCAAAAGGAAATTAGGCAAGGCCGTCTTCAACCTTTTGGGAAAGGCTTTTGATCTTACCGCTGCTTATAGGCAGCTACCGGTGCACCCGGGCAGCGAGTGGGCTTCATACATTTGCTTGGTCCATCCGGAGACTCATGAGAGAGTGTACTTCCGCATGAGGGCGATGCCATTCGGCTCTTCCATGGCGGTGTATAGTTTCTTGAGAATCAGCCACTCGCTCTGGTTCTTAGGAACCAAAGCCCTCCTTCTGCCCTGGTCGTCGTTTTTCGATGACTATATAACATTTGCCACTTCCGGCCAAGCTCTCTGTCGGCGGAATCGTCTGTCACTGCAATGTTCAAGTTACTTGGATGGGCCTTCGCTGAGTCCGGTGACAAATCGCATGACTTTGCAAAATGCTTCACTGCATTGGGAATAGTTGCTGACCTGAGTCAGGTTCACGACGGGGTGATTTACTTCAAGAATACGGAAAAGCGTATTGAGGAAATCAAATCCTTTGTGCAAAGTAAAGGTGTTGGAGGACGGCCGTCTTCCACATCATGAAGCGCTTCGCCTCAGAGGGAGGTGTCAGTTTGCAGATTCGCAAATCTTCGGCCGCGCTGGGAAGAAGTGTCTAGGATTGATCACTGCACACGCCTATGGTCTCGAGGAGGCTATCAGTCACGAGCTTCGCGTGTCGCTTGAAAGGTTTCTGCAAAGGCTTGAGTGTGATGCACCGCGACTTATCAAGATCCTTGAAGGCGGGTTCTGGAAGGTGTACACGGACGCATCCTACGAGCCGGGTGCGACCACGAGTTACTGTGGAATAGGCGGTGTGTTGGTTGATCCTAGTGGTGTGCCTAGAAAGTTCTTTTCAGCTGTCTTGGACGATTCCCAAAAGATTTTCTTAGGCGAATCCAAGTCAGCCCAGATCATTTTTCAAGCAGAATTGCTGGCGCTCACAATCGCTATGGATGCTTGGTCACACGACTTTAAAGGCTGCCCTGTAATTTTCTTCGTGGACAATAACGGGGTTCGAGACATCACCATTTCGGGGCATGCGAAAGCGTCGATAGCCAGGCGACTATTGGAGATCTTCTTGCAATTGGAGCATGATGCTTCAGTCGTGCCTTGGTACGCGAGGGTACCCTCACCTTCAAACCCCGCAGATGAACCTTCGCGGATCGAATGCAAAAGCCTGTGCCTCTTGGGCACTCATCTTGAAAGATCCACCGTGGGCGGCCTCATCACCGCTTGCTTGAAGAAAGTACAGGGACTCCGGTGAGTCTGCAGTCACTGGACGAAGCTAATGGATTCCTTAAATAGGTTAAGTTGGGGTGAAAGTCAGCAGGGCCCCTCCTAGAGGGCTGCAACTCCCTGCGTGCAATTAGTGTAGAAGAATGCCAGCCTGGCATGTAGCTAGTGTACTCGTGCTGAAGCAGCACACACGCATCTGACATCCCATCGTCACCGAAGGAAAAGTCTTCCGAGTGCGATCCGCAGTTTGCGGGTTTCGGTACAAGCAGTCATGTCAACCTTGTTGCATCAAGCTTTTCAAATCTTATTGCAGCTCGAGGGCTAAAGCACTTAAAGTTTTCTTGCAGCTGTTTGGTCCAAGTCGTTCGGCTCGAGAGAACCACGCAGTCTCGCCCCGAGATAGTGGGTTCTCTTGAGCCTGAGCGAAGGCCCTCGCGTGGGCCGCCTTGGACAAACTTAGGAAAAACCTTCTTGTGCCAGCATGATTTTCTTGATGCACTTCCTTTGTTTTCTTGAAGCTTTTTGCAAACCTCTTTGCGGTTCCGGTCAGTTCGTGCAATGCCATCTCACATGCAGAGTTGTGTGCTCAAGCCGAGCAAAAATTTTTGTCCCACTTACCCGCCCTGACACTGGCGTGGTGCTCTTGAGGGGTGAAAGTCAGCAGGGCCCCTCCTAGAGGGCTGCAACTCCCTGCGTGCAATTAGTGTAGAAGAATGCCAGCCTGGCATGTAGCTAGTGTACTTGTGCTGAAGCAGCACACACGCATCTGACATCCCATCGTCACCGAAGGAAAAGTCTTCCGAGTGCGATCCGCAGTTTGCGAGTTTCGGTACAAGCAGTCATGTCAACCTTGTTGCATCAAGCTTTTCAAATCTTATTGCAGCTCGAGGGCTAAAGCACTTAAAGTTTTCTTGCAGCTGTTTGGTCCAAGTCGTTCGGCTCGAGAGAAAAATTCTTTTTACCCACCCGCCCGCCCGGGAGTATGAAGCCTCTCTGGCTCGAAATGAGTTTGAAGTCTGTAGGGGGCTCGGGACGGCGCATGGTGAGCACAGTTTTTCATTGCGTTTTCAAGGCGCTTTTGATTGGCTGGAACGACTGCGCAGTCCCAGACTCCATATGGTGTAAGACACTCTGCAGCACCCGACAGATGCATGAGAATCAGCAGATCAAGTGGAACACAGGGCCAACTTGGCCCGAGAGAGCTGACCTCGCTCAGCAGCGAGCTGAGCCTGATACTGCACTTGCCGGAGCGCATAGTGACTGGCATAGTGAATACAGTCATTTTTGGGGCTTATTCGATGAACAGCAACACCTTGACTCACATGATGAACTGCATGGATTTTGGCATGGGCATGGTTGCGATTTTCATGCTTCTTTTCATGATGATTCTTATTCCGGTTTTCGAGCAGCTCTTTTACAGACGACAATACGCCAGCCAGGGCCGGTCCCAAGTCCGGCGGCGCAACAGGACCATCCTTACGACGACGACATCTTTCCTGAGCGCAGAGGCGAGGGTAGGCGGGAACCACAGCCCGCCCGAAACCATCACAGTGATTTTTCCGAGCTTCCGAGGGTGAAGCCAGTGGCCAAAGGACATTCATATACGGTCAAGCGTGCCTACAAACGAGCATGCCAAAGAGCCGTGTCATCACAGACAGGACACACTTGGTACAAAGGCCGGTGGCTCTCAGCAGCCGCCCTTTGTGGACAGTACGTTCCCTCAACTGAGGTGCCGGAACCTCCCAAGCATAGTCAATGAGCACGCAACCCTAGCGGCACTAGGCATTGCAAGCTTCTTTCCTGGAACTCAGGCGGCCTAGCAGCTAACAACTGGGACATCCTGCAGAACTGGTTAGCTGATCATGCAGTGCAGCTTTGTTGTATACAGGAAACGAGATGGAACATGGAGCAATTCTGGAGCAATGGACATTATCACGTCATCCATCACGGCCAAGGCCGCTCAGGTGGACTTATGACGCTGATCCACAATGGGCTGGCTCTCAAGGGACAAATTCGGTCTGGTACCATGGCAAATGGCAGGATCCAACACACCCGGATCTACGACCCGGACGGCGGTATTGACATCATAAACATGTATCAGCGGGTCTGGTCACATGGAGCCGTGGCAGACGTAACAGCTCAGCGAAAGACCGTCTGGAACGCGCTCAACACGTGCTTGGACGGGATCCCAGCGCGAAACCAAGTGTTGGTTTGCGGTGATTTCAACACACAGTTGCCGCATTGCAAAGGGGTGACCGGCACAGCAGTCAGCAACACAACTTATCGAGACAAGAGAGATGAACATGAACTCCTTGACATTCTCCGATTACATGGACTGATTGCAGCCAACACCTTTCACGATGCCAAACAGTACACTTATTGTGGCTCAGGCTCCCGCTCCCAGATCGACTACCTCTTCATGCGCTCAAACCAGGCCCAGGGCCTCAGCAAGCGCGCGCATGGACTTCACAAATTCCCGTTGTTGGCAGCACGCGGTGAGGGCTATCATGTTCCTTTGCTGGCGCATGTCCCCAGGAGATGGCGCATTTGGCGCTACGACAGTGCACCTCGCCAACCACGTGGTCCCAGCAGGCCTGAACTACAACGTCATATCAAAGATCACGTGGCTCATGTCGAACATTGCCTGCAGCAAGCCCTCGTGGCCCCCGTTTGACAGTGTAGAAGCAGTGGACCAAGCCATCATTGAGGTCCAAAATCAAATTGCTACGCAGGTCCAGCATGTGCCAGTACAACACCAACGGCCATGGCAAAACCTCGATCTGCGCACAGTCCTCAAGCAGGCCTGGGCACATCTACGGCAAGCCAGGGCACGACGCAGCTGCGGACTTCGCGATGTTTTTCAGGCGTGGAGACACATGCAGCAGTTCAGTAAGCTCATCAAATCGACAAGGGCTCCATGTCGGCGACTTAGACGCCAGCGGCTCCTGAGCATCCTCAACGATGCCCAATATCAAGAACGGAAGCGGAATATCCATGGCATTTATCGGCTAGTTGATCGATTGGCGCCGAAGCGCACTCAGGCTAGGCCGCAGATGCGAGATGATGCGGGCGTCCTGCTGGATGCTAGACAGGAGGCCACGAAGACAGCTAGCTACCTCCGGTGCTTGTATGTGGGCGAACCTTGTGTCGATCCTCTCATGTTGCTACCGGGCGTGAACAAGGCAGGGCCCAAACACTTGGCCTTGAATTCCATGTACAAACACGCGTCAGCATGGCTGGCACCCATCTATGCGGAATTCCTGGCCTCGTGGTGGAACGGTCGTGTGCCCTATATCCCACAGCCTTTCAAGGATGCTTGGCTGGTCATGTTGACCAAACCTGGCAAGGTTTGTCGAGGACCTGCTGATATGAGACCAATCGGTCTCTCCCATCCCGTGGGGAAGGCACTGTTACGAGCTTTGCGTGAGAAAGTCCAGCCCTGGGCAACCGAGTACATGGCTTATACACCGCAGTGGGGTTATCTGCGCGGCCGCGAGGCTTCAGATGCTATGCATCACTTCACGCGTGCGTGTCGATGTTTTATAGATCCTAGGTCAAACGAAATTTTGTAAGCAACAAAATTTTGGGCCATGACAATCTTTGCGCTACTCTTAGTAGTGCTTCACAATCCAGACTTTTAACAACTTTCAATGCTGTTGCATGATTTCGTTTCTCACGTCGAGTAACGATTTTTAAACCATGCGGTTAAACGCACACTTGTTCATGATTGAATCTGCAATCATCGAAGCTGTCTCGAGATCGAGCCAGAATTTTTGATTCGAGGGCTCTCTAGAGGCTTGTAATTTCGTCTAACAGGCCTGAGCCCTCCTACCTCGGTGTTGCTCTTAGAGCACCGTGCAAGAGCCCCGCCGGGGGCTCGGATGGATCCGAGCTCGACCCTTGCGGCCGAGTCGTCTTCCAGCGACACTCAAGAGGCCGTTTCGGCCCACCTGCACGCAGTTCAGCTTCAAGTTAATTCCCTTGAGCAGCAGCTTGTCTTGCTGCGATCAGAACTGCAGGAAGTTCGCCAACAGCTTGTGGATCTTGAGGCCGAAAGATACCAGCACTCCCTTCGCTTGGGGTGGCTGGAGCAACTTGTGCAGCGCGTTTCACGCGCTTTCCGCTTTCAGTGATTGTGCCTGCACTGGGGTACTTCGGGGCTGTAGTAGAATGGGGGATGATGAGAACAGCTCCCTTGCTTCGAGTTACGGGCTTCACCTGAGGTCGTGCCTGCGAGACTCGAGGTCTATTTGGAAGACCCCTTGGAACAATGCACTCGTAGCTTTTGACCCTAAGCCCCGCTTGCCGCCTCCTCTTGGACCTCTCCCCCTTGTAGTCCCTATGGACCCTTCTGCCGATCAGCCTGCCGTGCCGAACCCTCGCTTCGTCAGGTCGGAAGGGCTTGAGCAAGTGTGTGCTAAAATGGCCAAGTTCAAACATACTTCTTGGGAGGTTATGATCAATGAGGAGAGAAATCTTGCCGTGAATAAGTGGCTCAGCCTTGTCATGGTCGAGCCCTTGACCTTCGGTGTAGCTAGGAACTTCTACGCCGGCAAAGCGTCAGGGATCTCTTCAGGATCGCTTGCAGACAGCATTTCGGATTGCCTTGCTGCCAAGGCTACTTCGACGATCAATGCCAGGGCGAATTGCTTGTTGCGGTTTGTTTCTTGGGCAAAGGGGAACATGCCGTTTGTTTTTCCCTTGACCGAGCATGCTGTCTACGCATACTTCGAGGAGAAGAAATCCACAGCAGCGGCAACTTCGTTCAGGAGCCTTCTCTCTTCGGTTGCTTTCGCTCAGCATGTGGTAGGCCTGGAAGGGTGTGACAAGGTTTACACTTCGGGTCGTGTCCGCGGCCTTGCGTCGAAGCTTTACATGCAGAAGAGGAAGCTCAAGCAACGGAATCCTCTGAGGGTCTCCGATGTCATTCTTCTTGAAAGGATTTGTTGCAAGCTTGAAGACAGGTCTTTGCAGGACCGTGTCGCCGCAGGCTTCTTTCTCTTCTTGATTTATGCAAGAGCACGATACAGTGACGGGCAAAACGTGGCATCGCTGACTGTTTCGCCGCTCTACTTGGAGTGCAGTGTGGGCAGGTCCAAGACTAGTTTCACTTTGGAACGCAAGACCAGGTACTTGCCAATGGCTGCCAGGAAAGTGGGCATCAAGTGTGCATGGGCCGATGCGTGGCTTGACGCTTTGGCAGAGGCGGGTCTTGCGATCAAGCCGAACGACCCGTTGCTCCCCTGCCCTTCTTCGAATGGTTCGTGGAAGATGATCCCACTTCCGTGCGATCAGGCTTGCTCGTGGCTCAGGAGCCTGCTAGGGAACGCTCAGAACGATCCCTACCTTGCAAATGTGGGGACACATAGCCTTAAGAGGACTCTGCTGAGTTGGGCAAGCAAGCGTGGTCTGCCCCGTGAACAGAGGGCCCTCCTGGGGTATCACACGTCCGGGGTCAGAGCTGATCTATGAGTCCGACGCCCAGTCGGCTCCGCTCAGGGCTTTGTCAACTATGATCGACGAGGTGTCATCGGGGGCCTTCAAGCCCGACAAACCAAGGGGGCAGCAGCTTGCTTCCGAGCTGTCGGCGCATGCCGATCCCCCTGGCGACGAGATCGAGTCATCAGACTCGGAGGGCTCCGAGGACGAGGAGGAGATCGACCACTCGGGCGATGAAGCTTGTGTTGCCGAGGCTTTGGACTGGCATGGGAAGGTCGACCTTGACAAGATTGATCCCTCGTGTGTTTTCTTTCGGCATCGCCAATCCAGGGTAGTGCACATCACTGCCGACGAAGCCGGTGCCAACCTAGGCTGCGGTAGGACCATTTCGGGTCAGTACAGGAAGCTGGAGGCGCGACCCGCAGTTTTGCATCCAAGGTGCAAGCAGTGCTTCAGGAGATACCTGGTTGTGCAGCAGGGCACATGACTCTGCATTCGGCTCGTGCCTGCAATTTTGTGCAAAAGGGTGATGTCGTGCACGTGCGCTCCGCAAGCCGGTCAAGTGTTGAGATTTGTGCTATCGTGCAAGAGCGGCGATTGCTGGGTGTCGTGTCCTGCAAGATGAGTGATTTGGTGAAGAGCAAAGCCCTCCTGCAGCTGCTTTTAGCTCGTAGGGGGTTCCAAGCATCACACCATGGCGGCCTTCTCCGAGTCGGGGCCAGTGTTCAAATCACGATGTGCCCAGGTCGGTTTGGCATCTGCGGATGTCGAAAAACTCGAGAAGGTGGGTGTGGATTCACTCGCAAAGGTCGCTTTCATGACGAGCTACACGCCTGGCTCTGGCGATGACAAGGACCTCATTGCGGCGTTCGAGTCGGCTCTCGGGACGCCGCCCTCTGTAGGGCAGAAAAGCTCCTTCCGAAGGTTATTTCATGAAGCATATGCTGTTACCACTTCGGAAATGAAGATGCTTGTGGAGCGGACGGATGAATCCATCCCAAGAAAATTGAGCGTCCCAGAGAGATCTGAGAGGTTCGAGGTAGTGAGCAAACGCCTTGTGGGCCTTTCGATCAAGAACCGTCTTGAGCCTGCAGATAGCCTCGTCGACTCCTTCGTGTCCCAGTATGAACAGGACAAGCTGCAGTTTGTCCCGTGGGAGAAGCTTGTTTCCAAAGAACAAGAGGCATCGACAGGGGCAAAGCGAGAGCCTTTCTTCTCGCTGGACAGTACGGGCAAGCTCAGGTCGGAGACCAAGGTTGAGGTCCGTGCCGATACGAGCACGGAGCTGCTCTTGCAGCTCGCGCTTCAAAGGCGCGGCATCGCTATGGAGATGGCGAACATCCTTGACTACCATCGTCACCACATGTGGGTTGAGCGCCTTCTTGCGGCGCGCCTCGACGCACCTCCGTCGACGCACATGCAGCCCACGCTTGATCAGTGTCAGCAGGCTGACAGGAAGCTTTGGCAGCTTCTCGGAGAAGCGACTCGCTCTGGCATCCAGCTCAAAGCTGGGGGGCGTCCATTGGACGCCATCTTCGAGGACACATGGCAGTCACCAGAGGTCCTTCATTTGCTTCAGCCCATGCCTCGGGCAGCAGGCGCTTCAGTCACGCAGCAGGTGGCACCGCCGCCGAGGCCTCACGGGCCGGGCCCGTATGATCGCCCAGGCAAAGGCCGAAAGGGCACAGGGAAAGGTGCCAAGGGCACCAAAGGATCCGGAAAAGTTCCCGCCGCTCTGGCGGGCTGCAGATCATGCACCAATGCTGGTGAAAACATATGTTTTGGGTATGGACTCAAAACGTGCAGGGAAACCGTGACTCGCGGTCGATGCGTGCGTGGCCTGCACATTTGCGCATGGCCCAAGTGCGGCAAGTCGCACCCTGCATTGGACTGTCCGCTGCGTGCCGAGGCTCTAGGCCAAAAGCAGGAGTGACAGTCGGAAAGCGAGCCCTGCAGCTCGCAGCGCTCGACTCAGAGTCGGGATTGCCCAGGCTTGGCTGGGCACAGTTTTGCATCGCCGCAGGCCTCCCCTGCGCCGACAGATTCTCCTTTAGTGCATCTTGATCCGCGTCAGCAGAGTGCTAGTGTGGATACAAGCAAATTTTCTTCACTTTTGCAATTGCTTCAGAATGCTGCGTGGCCAAAGTCTGTGTTGCAACGTAAGTCTGTTTCGTCCGTGGACTCCGCGCAGTCGGGGTATTACAACTTTGGGCCCAGGGCCAGCAATCCGCAACATTTGACACATGCCACCCTTGCCATGCAGGACTTCGTATTGCGCCTGAACTCAGTGTTCAAGGAGCTTCTGCCTCAAGCTTCCTGGAATGCAATCTGCGTGGGCAGGAATACTTTGTCAGATTTCCACAGGGACTCAGGGAACCAGACAGGTTCGCTGAACCACACTTTCACGCTTGGCACCTTCACTGGCGGCCAGCTTTGGCTCGAAGATGCGTCGGGCACTTCTCAGGCCACCGTCGCAGGCGACAGTCACATCAGGGGTAAAATCGTAGACACGTTTTGTTGCCCCACTAGTTTCCCGTGCCACTTGTGGCATAAGACGATGCCCTTCACAGGTGAGCGGTGGGTCGTCACACTCTACACTCTTTCAGGTGGGCAACCCGCCACGTTGCTCCCATTGGGTTTTCCGTGTGATCCTGCTGCCGCGGAACAACAGCTCCCTCCGCCTCTTCAGCCTGTTTTGCCGTTGGCGTGTGCACCTTCCGGGTCTAGCCCTTCTGCCCCCGCCCCTTTGGGTTCTAGTCCCGCCTCGCCCGCCGACCCTCCTTGCAAACGCCTGAAATCGCAAGCTCAAGCCGAGCCGACTCCCAGACATGCGAAACCGCTGTTTCTGGAAATCTGTAGTGGGTCTGCTATGCTGTCTTATGTTGCCAAAGAGGCCGGATACACAGCCGTGCCCATCGACTGGCATCACAACAAACAGCGGACGTGTGTGCACACCTTACAGCTCGACTTGCGGCTGGCCAGCACTTGGTCTTTCTTGCGACGCATTTGCTCCGAGTACGATGTTGCCTGGGTGCACATGGCTCCTCCATGCGGCACCGCTAGCCGGGCTCGGGAGTGCGGTCCCGGCCCTAAGCCATTGCGTTCGGTCCGTCATGTGCGCGGCCTGCCCGGCCTCCCACCAGTGGAGCAGGCGAGGGTGGACAGTGCAAACACCATTTATGATAGCATGGCCGCCTTCTGTGACTGGCTGCTGCATGCCATGCCGCATGTTCCCTTCTCTGTTGAGAACCCGCTTCACAGTTACCTGTGGCAGCTCCCGAGGTGGGCCGAGCTGCTCGCCAAGCACACCTTCGTCACATTCGACTCGTGCCGCCACGGGTCACAACGCAAGAAGGCCACCGCCCTCCTCACGAATTCTGAGCTTCTGCACTGCCTTTCGGGACCATGCCCGGGATGCTCCTCGCACTTGCCGTGGGGTAAGCTGGGCAATACTTTTGCGACAGCTGAGGAGACGGGCTATCCCAAACTTCTTTGCGAAAGGATTGTCTCATGCGTGGATAAGTCAGCTGCATCACGAGGGATTGCGCCTGAACGCCTAGTGGCCTCCACGGTTTCTGCTGCGCGTGCCGCAGGTCAGGTGCAACCTCGTGGCCGCAAGTTTCCGCCAATCATTTCTGAATTTGCTTACACTATGTCAGTCGCCAGTGCTGCGGCTCCCACTCTCAACTCCAAGCACTGCCTTTCGGCTTCTTGGCACGGCGTCCCTGCAGGCGCCAAGCTCCTCCGGGAGTCAGTTGAAAGGGGAGGTTCGCGACTCCCAGAGGGGAACAAGTTCTACACTTTTGGCGTCTATCGATCCATGCAAGCTTTCTTGAACGAGGCAAAGTTGGTTGTGCACCCCTTCGATTCTGCCAAATCACTTCCAGATGAACTTTTGCGAGTCTTGTTTGACAATCTTACGAAGAGCCCGGTTGACACCATGAAGCACCGTCTTTTGAAGCTACAACAGTGGCGAGCCCTCGCCACGCAGCTTGATCCCGAAGAAGAGAAAATCAGATCGGCGATGGACCCTTGTGTGCGGAAGATCCTTAGTTGTAAGCGCATCGCACTCATGAAGAGGATTGCCGCCGACTTGTCGTGGCCTGACACGGCCCTCTTCGATGATCTGGCTGCCGGCTTTAAGCTAACGGGATACTTGGGGCGTACGGGTGTATTCGCTAGTGATGTCAAACCTGCCACGATGGACCTTGACGATTTCTGGGCAAGTGCTCCCCTCCGGAGGGAAACCCTGCTTGAAAAAGTCAGAGCCCAGAAGGACCATGACTATGCCGAGGAGCTTTGGGACATGACGCTTGAGGAGTCTAACAGATCGGGGAAGTGCTGGCTTGACGGCCCGATCGACGTTGACTCTTTGGGGGACAAGTTCCCTGAAGGCTGGAACGCCTGCCGGCGTTTTGCAGTCTGGCAGGGCAAGTGGCGTGCGATCGATGACTTCTCGGAAGCCGCTGTGAACTCTTGTTTCGGATGCTTTGAACGTGTCACTCTCAAGGCCCTTGATGAGATTTGCTGGCTGTGCATGCAAGTTTGCCGTGCGGCAAAATCTTCAGGATCCCTCGATCTTGAGCTCAGCACCGGTGAGAGACTCAAGGGACCCCTCCATACGGCTTGGAAGGACCCTGACCGTGTCCGTCCTCACTGCAAAACTTACGATCTTCAAGCTGCCTACAAGCAGCTCGCACTGCACCCTAGCGAGAGGCCGAAATCCGTTATCCTGCTCAGGGAGCCGGGCTCCCGCGCCGTCAAGGCCTTTGTGTGCAACACTCTTCCTTTCGGAGCTTCAGCCTCGGTCATGCAGTTTAACAGGGTTGCATTATTCCTGCAGAGGGTTCTTTGGGATTTGAGGGTGGCCGTAACTTGCTACTATGACGATTTCCCGACAATGACCCCTTCGTTCTTGTCTGGCGGCACTGACAATGCAGTTCATGCCCTCATGGACCTGTTTGGCTTCACCTTGTCCGAGAAAGAAAAGCCGTTCTCGTGCACTGCAGAAACGCTGGGTGTCGTGCTGGATACCTCCGATCCTGACATGGGCCGCATCTTCGTATCGAACAAGCCCGAACGAGCTGCCATGCTTGAACAGTCCTTGGGCCGCATCCTTGAAAAGGGCCAGGTAGACACGCGGGAGCTGCCATCCCTTCTTGGGAAGCTTCGCTTCGCGGATGCTCAGCTGCTTGGTCGCACAGGGCGATTGGCCCTAGCCGACCTTAGGCTCTTCGGTGACAGAGGGGGTGTCTTGAATCTTACGGATACTCAATCGAATGCCTTGGCTGTTCTGAGGGCAAGACTTCTTGCGAGCAGGCCGCGTGCCATTGTGACGAGCCCTGCCTCGAACCCAGTCCTCATCTTCACAGATGGCGCATGCGACCCTTGCGAGGGCGGCTTCAGTACTGGGGTCGGGGGGGTTCTCTCTGTCCCCGGCAAGGGTGTTGCTAGGGCATTCGGTTGTAGGGTTCCTAGCAAGCTCGTCAAGCAATGGGCCGAGGGCAGGAAACACATTATAGGGCAGGTCGAGCTTTACGCGGTCGTGCTCGCCAGGATCCTGTGGTCGAGTTACATTGATGGCGAACGATGCATATTTTTCGTCGACCATTCCGGCGTCTTGAGTGCTTGCATCAACTCGAACTCGATCGATGCATCTTGGAGGAGTCTCCTTCTTCACTTGGAGGCCGCCGATGAAGCACGCCCGTGCTTGCCGTGGTTTCATCGTGTACCGAGCCAGAGCAACATCGCGGATCCGCCATCCCGAGGCAGATGGGAGGAGCTGGCATTCCTTGGTCCCGTCACTCGTGACGTGCCGACTTGCTTTGTCACAGGCGCCACTCTTGAAGCAACGTAACGCATAGTCGAGAGGGGGAAGAATATGGTCACGTTGCACTCCATCGTGCGACTGGACTCTGGGGGGCACTCGTGTGCCCCTGCTTAAGTGGAGGAGCACTCTTAGTGCCCGGTGCACGCCCTGTGCACATTCGTTTTCCTTGAAAACTTCCCACGACTCTCGGCTGTGCCGTGAAAAGAAGAGTGAGCGTCTTTGCATCAATTTCATATCCTTTTGTATATATTTGGGTCGACCAATATATTTGGTCAACAATCTTTATATGTTGGAATCTGCAATATTTGATCAAGACTCTATACTTGATTCAAATATGTGATTGTCATGGATGACCGGATCTATAAGCATCACTTCACGCGTGCGTGTCGATGTTTTATAGATCCTAGGTCAAACGAAATTTTGTAAGCAACAAAATTTTGGGCCATGACAATCTTTGCGCTACTCTTAGTAGTGCTTCACAATCCAGACTTTTAACAACTTTCAATGCTGTTGCATGATTTCGTTTCTCACGTCGAGTAACGATTTTTAAACCATGCGGTTAAACGCACACTTGTTCATGATTGAATCTGCAATCATCGAAGCTGTCTCGAGATCGAGCCAGAATTTTTGATCCCACCATATGGTCACGTTGCACTCCATCGTGCGACTGGACTCTGGGGGGCACTCGTGTGCCCCTGCTTAAGTGGAGGAGCACTCTTAGTGCCCGGTGCACGCCCTGTGCACATTCGTTTTCCTTGAAAACTTCCCACGACTCTCGGCTGTGCCGTGAAAAGAAGAGTGAGCGTCTTTGCATCAATTTCATATCCTTTTGTATATATTTGGGTCGACCAATATATTTGGTCAACAATCTTTATATGTTGGAATCTGCAATATTTGATCAAGACTCTATACTTGATTCAAATATGTGATTGTCATGGATGACCGGATCTATAAGGCTCGTGCTTTTGGGCATTGCTCTGCAGTTCGAGCCTTATGTCAGTCACAGACCCAGAACATAAATCACAAACGAGCGGGGCATCAACGACAGGAGCTGGTGGGCGGACTGGCAGTAGCCCTAGACATAGCCAAAGCGTTCGACTCGGTTCCCCATGCTGAAATAAACCTGGCTATGCAGGCAGCGCAGATACCTCCCGAACTTCGACAGCTAGTTCTTCTATGGATCACAGGCGCGCAGTATCATGTGAAAGGAGAGGGTGGCAACCTAACAGTGGACGTAGGCCGAGGAGTACGACAGGGATGTGTCCTCTCCCCATTGCTATATATCATGGTCGTGGCACGGCTACATTCCCAGCTTCGAAGCGCCTTCGGAGACGAGGCGGACCAGATCTTGGATTACTTTGCAGATGACACTCTGATTCACCAAGAGTTTACGTCGCCCCAAGGTTTTCGGGAGGCCATTGAGCGAGTGGGGAAGTTGCTGGAGGTCCTGGCCCAAGCCGGCTTGAACATCAACGATGACAAAACCCAGGTCCTGCTACGGTTAGCGGGCAGTCGAGCAAAACGGATGCTTCAGGAAGTCACCGAAACACGACGGGATGGTCGGCAACTGAGAGTCTCAGCGTTATGGATGCAGCGATTCTTACCAGTGTGCAAACAGGCCAAGTACCTGGGAGCGCAGCTATCATATGAAGCCTATGAAGATGCTACCTTGCACCACAGGGTGACGGCAGCAAGGGCTACGTATGGACGACTACGCCGCATTCTTACCAGTCGCAGCAATCTTTCTCTCACTTCGCGAGTTCGTTTGTGGTCTGCATGCGTCGCGTCAGGGCTGTATTATGCTTTGGACTCCAGCGGTATCTCGAACAATGGCTTGCAAAAGGTTCGGGTCTTGGTACAGAAGCAACTACGCGCCGTAGCGCATATGCCAACCCACATAACGCACGTCAGCAATCAGGAACTACTTGATCGGCTGGGGGTTTGCGAGCCGGGGGCCCACATCCTCCACAACATGCAGGGACAGCTGCGTCGATGGCAGGCAAATGCAGACCATGACAATCCCATTCCCATCAAGGTGCAACCTGCTATCGGACGATGGCGGCAGCAACGTGTGGATGAGCTGAGCGCTCAGCTGCAACTGGAGCAGAAGGCGGGCAGAAGTGTGCTTACGTGTCCGCATTGTGGACTGGAGTGTGCAAATCAAACGGTGTTAGGCTCACATATTTCCCAAAAGCACAAGGCTGCACCAGTCGCCTTCAACCGTCTGGTACATTCCACAGGAGGTATGCCGCGATGCTCTGGTTGTCAGGCGCTTATGAGCTCCTGGGCTAGATTGCAAAAGCATATCGAGCATGGAGCCTGTCCTACCCCCATCGGGACCGACACACCTGAAGCCTCACAGGCCAAGCAGCCGGATGAAAGCGAGGCTCAGCGGTTGGAGCCAGAGATCGAGCAGTCAAAACAATCACCTGAACCGCCTCCCAGTGATCAACCTCTCATTCTGCAGCCTGAAGTCATTGCTGTTGTACGTGAGCATGGTTGGCGAAAGCTCGCCGCGAATACTACCTGGAGGCCCAAGTTTGCTCAGTGGTGCTGTTTGTGTGGGACCTGGTGTGTTTCAAACAGAGCGGTCAAGATGCATTTGGCCAAATCTCACAAAGATGTCTGGACAAAACATAAGCATCGGATTGAAACCCTTTGTAAATCCCAACTTGCTGACATCACCGTCCCATGTGGCTTGTGTGGATCAGTTTCCAAGGACCCTAAATCCCACGTGGTTGCTTGCCCAGTCCTGTTTCAATCGCTGCTTATATCCTTGGTGACGGCGGATGGCGAACGCGGCGGAGGTGAACTTCTTCAAGCACTTGCTACCGGTGGGAAGTCAACAAGAGCAGAGCGGGGCGAACAGGGCCACAACGGCAACACACGCGCCGCTGCAGACGAGCAAGCGGCCCAGGACGGAGGAGCAGCAAGGACGCCGGCCAGCGCAAAAGCAAGCATCAGGAGCGAAATGGACGACCGGAGCAGGGGAGCCAGGAACGCGACATCACCAAGCTCGTGGAGGCAGCGGCCAAACTGACGCTGAAATTGGCGGACGAACACCAACTGCTGCTTCAGGACTGCGGGTTTACTTGGTTCGTGAGCACGGAACAGGGGGGAGTACTCCCCATGATGTTCGGCATCAGCTCGGAGTGGAAGAAGCGGTGCACAGACCTGATGCTTCCTGAGTTCACCGAAGGTTTGGAAGTTAAGCATGTTCGTTACCGTGTCTGCGCTTTTGCTGTGCACCTAGGAGAGAGTGTGACGTCTGGGCACTACAGAGCTCTTTTGTACAATGCGATCACAGGGAAGCTGCATTACTGCGACGATCATGCGAGAGCTGTTTTGCTTAAAGACTTCGGTAGGGTTTCGAGGGACGTTTATGCCGTTTTCTTAGCTCGCTCGCATTAGCAGTGTGCACGGGGCTTTCTTTAGGGGCAACATGTAAACACATGTTCTTCGCTTGTGGACCGGAGAGTGCTACCAACTGCGCTCTAGTCTTGCCACCATGAGTGGCCGCTCTTCTGTAGAGGAGTGAAGTCCTTCTCACACGACGCACCGTTGTGGAGTCCGAAAGAAAAAAGAAAGCCCGGGGGTATGATCGGGTGCGCAAGCTCTCGACTTATCTCATCGACACATGTGTCTTGCATTGGATGCTTGACCTTGGGGGGGGTATGATCGGGTGCGCAAGCTCTCGACTTATCTCATCGACACATGTGTCTTGCATTGGATGCTTGACCTTGGGGCCGATTGAGATATCAAACTTTTATCGTTTCGACCCCACGGCATCGCGCAATATCATCATAGAAACGAAGGCTGCTGAGCGAGTGACTGCGTTCTTATTTAACATTATTCTCTGAAATATATTGGAGTGACGTGAAGAGGAATATTCATGATATTGTCCATGTGTTTGTGGAACAGGAAATAAGGAGTTGATCTTAGATGAGGGCTCGCGCATGAGTATCCGCGACAAAGCCCACAAGGACAAGTGTGGCATTCAGAACGAATTGCAGCTCTCTAGCCCTGTGTCGCAGGGCGCTGTCCTGTGATCTTTTGCAGCTCTGCACTTTTGCCAACATGGACATGTGGCACAGGCATTTGCTTTCCAAGCTGTCGGAACAGCCGCCTCCTTATTATGCCAAGGTTTCGATGGAGCAGCTGCTCAGGTGCGACAAGGCGGCGTGGGTTCGCATGAGTGAGCTCTTGACCTCTTTAAAGAAGGACGATGCAGGAAACCTTCCGATGGATGCCGCCTTGGACAAGCTTCAATATGATCCAAAAATCATGATGCATCTGGCTCCACTCCCTGGGGCTAAGTGGAAAGGCGATGGAAAAGGTGACAAGGGCACCAAGCGTGATGCCGACGGCAAGCCGAAATTGCCTCACCGTCCCAATAAAGGTGCTGGCAAAGGGAAGTGTCCTGAGGCGTTGGCCGACCCGCGCTTGAAGCACAACTGTAGCAAGACTAAGAAGCGTCTGTGCTGGAATTTCAACATGCAGACTGGATGCAAGTTTGCGAAGGCCGGTGAGAGCTGCAAACGAGGCTTGCATATTTGTATGTTCTGCGAGCAACCCCATTCCCTTCTTCAGTGTTCGACTTACAAAGTCAATGAGTGACTGGAGGCCGCCGCTGCTGAGGCCGACTCTTTGCTTGATGAAGTGCTAAGCCCTTCGGCCTCGCCTCATGCGGCAAACCATGTTTGCATGCCGGCACAGATTGACCCGGTTGGCCCGGTGGAACGTCCCAAGCCAGCCTCGTCAGTGCTTGATCAAATTCCTAGTGTTGTGATCGATGAGCGAGTTTTTCCCTTGCCCGCTGAGCGGCAAGTGCATGCCTCTTTGCATCCGGCAGAGCAATTTGCTCAAAACGTTCTGTCGTCTGGTGAACCTGTGACAGCAACTTGTATTGAGCGCCTTTTTAGTTTGTTGCCTTCCAAGGTGGACGAACGCTTCGGTTCGATTTCTGGTAAATCCCTTGTAGCGGGTGTTTTCCGGCATGGGGGCGTCGTTGGCCTCACGAACACCAGCCGCTCCTTCCTAAGTTTGGCCATCGCCTGGGCCATGACACGAGGCGAGCCCGAACTTTCTGATTTCACTTTTTGCTCCATTGCTACGTTAAGACTGAAGTTCACCGCGATGTGAACAACGATGATGCTGACAACCTAGTGCTGCCGGTCACCACTTTTTCAGGTGGGCACATTTGGGTTCAATCCGAGTCGGGCAGCCATGTGCTGCCTGTCAATGGGTCCATGGTTCCCGGCGACTTGCATGATGTTGCTGCAGCCCCAGTGCGGTTCTATGCCCGCAAGCGCTTGCATTGCACAATGCCATGGACGGGTGATCGGATGGTCCTCATCTTGTTCTCGGGCGGCGATGCTACTCAGCTGCCCAGCCTTGACTATGAGCACCTTAAATCCCTTGGGTTTAGGCCTTCGGTTTCTGTGTCTACCGTCAACCCCCCCTTGGCATATTTCTGCGGTACGGGGGGCCTCTGTGCCTCACTTCGGCAGTTGGGCATGAAGCTAAGTGTCGGTTTTGACCGTCATGCGCAGCGTGGTTGCAAGTGCCCTGTTGTCTCCCTGGACCTCACGAAGCCAGGATCGCGGGCCATTCTCCTTGACCTTCTTCAACAGCCTCACGTTGTTGCCTGCCACTTGTCCCCACCTGTCACCACAAGCTGCGGTGGTTTGCAGGGCCCGCGTTCGGGCGGGCTTCGCAATGCAGCGCACCCTGAAGGTGTGCCTGGTCTGCAAGGTACTGACCTAGAGTTAGTCCAGGGCGCCAACGCACTTTTTGCCTTGTGCGCCGAAGTTTGGCACATCTGTTGGAGCCATGGGGTCTTTTGCTCCATTGCTCACCCGAGTAGATCCATCATGTGGCTCAGTGCGTCACTTCGCTCCTGTCAGTCTACGCCTTTCCTCTCCACTTCTTTGCACCAATGCATGTTTGGCTCCTACCGGAGAAAGGCCACTCGCCTTTTGCACACGGTTCCCTACTTGCAAAAGCTCGGTGTAACTTGTGATGGAGGACACGATCACGAACCGTGGCGATCCCCTGCACAAAATCGCATGAAGGATGGCGGTCTCCCTCCGCTACTGTGCAAGACTTTTGCCCAGGCACTTGTGGATCAGCTCGTTGCGTGCGGTGCGCGCGCCCCGGCGTGCTCTTTTGCAAATGCCACCCTGTCGCTCTCCCTGGGCGCTCGTGTTGCTACTGCGACGCAACCCAATGCCAGCCGGCAACCTTGGTTTCAGGTAGTCCCGACTCCCTGGTTCCCCAATGCCAGCCGGCAACCTTTCCCCTAAATGTAGCCAGTGCGAAACCATGCGCCAAATCAGAGCTTGAACTGCTTTTTGGCATACCGTGGTCACCTTCGGAGTTCGTCGAGCAAGCCTGCAAAGCGAAGCACCCGCGATCATTGGATCAAGGCGTGCCAGCCGGCATGTCAGCATGTATTGATCGCTTATGTGAGCGCAGCTCGGTCAGTGTAGCGAGGGAACGAACGGCTGAACTTCGCAAGTGGATGCTTAGGAAGAAAGATCTTGACGAGAGTTTTGATGGACCCGCGCATTGCAAGAAGATCCTTGCTGGAAAACCCATGAAGCTCTTTCGGGGAGATGGTCAAGGCTGCCGGGCATGCTGATGTGAACTTGGTACGAGATATACAGAACGGTTTCGACCTTCTTGGCGAGATCCCTTCTTCGTCTGTCTTGCCGAAGAAAACCACAGTGGCATCTCTTAGCATTGAGGACGTCAGGATCGCCACCCCGGCGAATCAACGTGCAATCTGGGAGGCTACCCGCACTTGCAGGGATCCTGAAATAACCGCGGAAGTGTATCGCCTTACCTTGGAGGAAAGGGATAAAGGATGGCTGATCGGTCCCTTTACTCTTGCCGATGTGCCGGAGACTGCCATCGTTACTCGCCGCTTTGGCGTCAGGCAGGGCGTGACGACGACGACCGCCGGTGTGACAGCCAAGATACGACCTATCGACGACTTCACAGAGAGCTTGGCCAACTTGTCGTGCACGTGTGCGGAAACCATTGACCCACATTCCGTGAACATCATTGTGGCCGGGATCCTGAAACGATGCAGGTCGCTACGGAAGTCGGGTAAGGATGCACGCCTGCTCCTCCGTACAGTCGATCTGCGAAAAGCCTATAAGCAACTTCCTTTGTCTGTGCGTGCTTTGGGGGATGCATATATATGTGTGCTTAACCCGGATACGGGTGAGCCTGAGCTCTACCAGAGCCAGGTCTTACCTTTCGGGGCAAAGCCCTCAGTACAAGGCTTTTGTCGTTCATCTGGAGCGATCTGGGCTGTGGGACAAGCCCTGCTGCACATCCACTGGTCTGTCTTCTTTGACGATTATGTGGTAGTGGCCACGCCTGAGGAAAAGAGTCACCTTGATCTTGTGTTGCGGTCGTACTTTTCCTTAATTGGCTGGGAAACGTCCGACGAAAAGGACGCCGGGTTCAAAAGTGTGGCAAAGGCCTTAGGCGTAGAGTTTTGCTTAGACGAGATCCACTTGGGTCTGCTTAGGGTGCAAAACTGATGAACTTTGTTTTGCCCCAACGTACCCTGTTTTACCCTACCTTAGCGTAGTGCTTTTGAACGTTGTCCGCATGGCATGAGTACATGTGTGATTCCGTTTGCACGGTTGATCGCGAGGCCCAAAGTGTAGTGGAAAAGTGCATCCGTTTCTTCATGGTAGCGGAGCAGTGGACAAGGCAGTGCTCCACACACGTGGGGTTCGGAGTTTTCTTTCGGTTCCGTGTTCAGGGGCCATCGTGCGAGAAAGTCTCCTTTGCTGTTCGGGGCCGGGGTCTAGGGCGAGTCGTAGAGTAGAAGCGAGCCACGGTTTCATGCAATCAGTGCTTGCGAATTCTTGAAGTGTGGAATGATGGCGGCACAGCCTGTGCCAGACGATGACAGTATAGATGAGGAGCTCGGCCCGGCACCCAATCCTTTTGCTGCCTCGCCAACAGGCGGTGGAGAGATAGTTATGAATGCTGCAGACATTCGTGTTTTGATGCAGAGAATGACTGAAGCCACCCAAGCGGCGAGCTCGGCAGCGCAAGCAGCTTCTTACATGACAACAGCGAATTCCGTGAGACCTTTGAGTTTGGGAGATTTATCCAAAATTATTCCGAAGCCCGAAGCTTTTAAAGCTGTTTCGAGAGATGATGAGCTGGCCGCCTGGCCGTCGTGGGCCTGGGGCGTTGAGCAGTATCTTTCATGCTTGGATTTTTCATTTGGTGCAGAACTTCGAGATTTTGCCAAACAAGCTGAACCTGTGAACCTGAGTCTGGCGAGCGATGCTACACGCAACAGATCTAGGCTTTTATATGGACTGCTCAATGGGCTTTTGAACGAGAAGGGCCGACGCTTACTTCGAAGCGTCACTGAGCAGAATGGTTTTGAGGCTTGGAGGCTCCTTTCGAAAGATCTTATGCCAAAGACGAGAAACAGACTTTTAGCATTGCTGCGAACTATCAACGGCTGGCCTACTTTCGATATGCGACAGGGCATAGCACAACAACTTCTTCGTCTCGAGGCTGCCTTTGAAGAGTACGAACAGCTTGAGCCTGGAGGCCTTCCCGAGAACCACAAGATGGCTGCTCTCCTTAGCTGTCTGACCGGGCAGCTTCGGCAACATGCTAACGTCACCATATCTGATGAGAGCCGCTATGCAGATCTTCGTGCGCTTGTGTTGCGTTGGGATGGGGCCCAAACCAAGTGGCAGTCAAGTGTTGCATTGAGCTATGGTTTGCAAGACAGCAACAAGGGTCTGCAGGACACTGGGCCCACACCAATGGAACTTGATAGGGTCGGCCAGAAGGGCGACAAAGGAAAGGACAAAGGAAAGGGAAAAGGAAAAGGAGACAAAGGCAAGAGCAAGGGCAAAGGATATGGCAATGGCAAGCCTGGCGGGAAGTATGACAACGGCAAGGGCAAGCAAGGAAAGCAGCAGCAACAACAGAACAACCAGCAGCAACAGCAGAAGGGCAAAGGCAAAGGCGAGTGTTGGAACTGCGGTCGCAAAGGACACGTAGCTCGTGATTGCTGGCAACCACGTCGGTCTGTGGATCAAGTGCAGGGTCAAGGCGAACAACAGCAGCCACAGCAGCAGCAGAGCAACCAGCAACAGCAGCAGCAAGGGCAAAGGACAGTTTCAACAGCACCGCCGTCAGAGTATAGTGCGTATGGTGGTGTCCAGTCACAAGCTTCGACTGCTGTGCGCCGTGTGAGTGCTGAGCCTCTTTTGTTCGACATGTCAGAGCTGGAGCTCGATTTTACCTCTGGAGTGCGCATGGTTCAGGCGGTTGCGTCAGGAGTGCAGATTTTCAGGATGGACGCCAGAGACGATGATGATACATTTCTTTGGTGCACGGCGCCCGAGAGTGCCGAGACCTGGCTGTGTGCAGAAGTGCGAGCCTTGAGATCAGTCCCCGAATTTTCGGTGAGCCCTACCACTGTTATTGTAGATTCTGGAGCCGACATTTCGTGTTTGCCGACTTCTTTTGCAACTTGCGGGCGCTCTGCCCGGTCAAGTCAGCAGATCGCTCTTTATGATGCTCAGGGCGGCGACCTCAAAGTGCATCAGCAAAGGATTGTGGACTTTGCTGTGACGGATCGCTCTGGCAGGGAGGTTACGATTCGAGAGAAGTGCCTTATTACTTCCGTGACCCAGCCTCTTTTGTCTCTAGGACGGCTTGTGAAGAGAGGTTGGTTTCCGCAGCGGCAGGGCGAAGAAATGCTCCTGGCACACGGGCGCACGGGCTCAGAGCTCGACCTAGGCTTTCAGGGCAACAGCCTGGCACTTGAAGCATGCATTCGCAAAGTTGATTTTCCTGACCTTGATCCTGAGCAAGCTGCAGTTCGTGCTTTGTTGCAAGCCACTTTGAGCGAAGAGCTGCAGGCTGTTGATTACGGCTGGCAGGTCCTGAGAACAGGTCACATTATGTGGCGAGGCCGATCGACCTCCATGGTTGACCCGTCTATGATGGCCGGGATCTCGTGGCATTTCCGTTCTACTCTTACTCAGCGTGATAACAACAGCCCCTGGTTTGTGATTGAGAATTGCGAGCGCTGGGACGAGATGGAGGACCTCGAGGAGGAAGTGCCAAGCGGCACAGCGGTTGAGATGATCGTTCTTTTGCACACCGAGCCTGAAGCACTCACTGCTGCAGGCATTGATGTATCTGATTTCGTGATTCCTGCTCTGCCCGGAGCCGCTCACGATGATGCTGGTGGTATAGGCTCGGAGCCTGAATATGATGAGGCAATGGAGCCTTTAGAGCAGGACGGTTCAGTTGCGTTGCAAGACAGTGCTGAGCCGGATGTTGTTGAGCAGCGTGCATTGCCAGATGTGGAAGAAAGAGAGGAGAGAGAGCAACCGAGTGACACGATTACGGTTCAAGATGTGGTGCTCACTGCGCAGAGCAGCATACATGCATTGAAAGCAGCGTGCGAGCACCTCGAGCTCAAGACCTCAGGTTCGAAAACGAGATTGTTTCAGCGCATCCAAGGCTACCTTGAGAAGCAGAAAATTGCTCTTGAGCAGGACATGGCGACTGACGCGAGAAGCGGTGAGGAACGACGACCCAACATGCAAGCAGTGCCTCGTGCTCCGTCGGAGCAAGAACGACTACTGCATGAAGTTACACATTTGCCTTTTGCTGCTTGGTGCCCCCATTGTATCAGCATGCGAGCGATGCCAGATAGAAGTGAAGCAGCGCAGCAAGAACCGCGTGATGTTCCATCCATCTCCTTCGACTTTTGCTTCACTGGGTACGATAAGGAGAGTGGTGAAATGAAGGCACACGGCAAACCAGCAGAGGGTGAGAGTGGTGAAGAGTTGTTGTGTTGTCTTGTGGCGCATGATAGCAGCACTGGGTCTGTGGTCGCCATTCCTTGCCAATCCAAGAGTACAACCAGATTTTTGGGAGTGGAGCTTATGCGCTTTATACATTCACTCGGGCATGCTACAGTAGAACTTCGTTGCGACAACGAGCCGAGCACAACATCACTTCAAACCGCTGTGGCTGGGGCAAGGAAAAGATTGGGGCTGCGAACCATTATTCGAAATCCTGCTATTGAGGCCCACGCCTCTAATGGGGCAGTGGAGAAAGCGGTGGATGTTATCAGGCGACTAGCAAACACAATGATGAGCATGGTTCGGGAGCGGGTCGGCGTGAACTTTGGTGTTGATCATCCTCTTTTCGCCTGGTCCTTTGTTCATGCTGGGTGGACCCGTAATCGATTTGCGGCGGTGGGAGGACTCACTGCGTACGAGCGGGCAACAAATGCTCGTTACAATGGGCGATTGGTTCCTTTTGGCGAGCCAGTGTTTGGACAAATCACGGTGAAGAAGAAAGGGAATCCTAGATGGGTCCGATGCATTTTCCTCAGCAAAACAACAACCAACGACATGTACATTGTTTCCACGAGAGCTGGAGTGAGATTGTGTCGGTCAGTGCGTAGAACAACTTCTTCTTGGATGTTGGACAAGCCGCTGTATCAGGGATTGGCTGGCTTTCCATGGGACTACTCGGCAGGAGCGGTTGGAACGAGGTTGGTCCCGCCTGCGCGCACCCGCAGGCCACAGCTTGCGCCAACATTGGCGCCACAAGTGGCAGACGAGGCGGCTTCAGATCCGCCGACACCCGTGCCAGGTGATGCGGTTTCCTCTCCTGGGCCTGTGGTCCCAGGGCCGGCAGAGCCTTCAGTCGAAGGCGCAACAGTCAGTGTGCGACCCAGTGTGCCCCCGGATGGTGCGGTATTGGCTGAGAACCCTGTGGTTCCTTTGCCGGCGGGGCCGAATCCGGCCCTTGGGCAGATCGATGTCGAGATGCTTCGTACTCCTGAGGCGATGCTGCCACCGCTGGGTGATACGGCCCAGGGTTCGGCGGGGAGTCGTGATGGACCTCCGGAGGCAGGTGGTGATCGGAAGCGCATTCGTATCAGAGCAGTGCAGTTTGGCAGCCACAACCTTGATTATCATGATGAAGATGTGAACTTTGAGTATCCTGAGCTTGAGTGTGGTGAGCTTTGTGAACAGATCGAAGCAGATATCGAGAGTGAAGTCGCAACGGCAGGTGAGGACGTTGTGAGTGAGGGCACCACGGCTCCGAACGTACAGGGCCCTCTGAGTGATTATGAGCAGCTACAGGAGCTGTTGTGGTACCCGGATGACGGGACCGGACCGCCGAAGCTTAGTGATTTCGAGCTTGGCAAGATTGACAGCATAGCCGATGAGGTTGAGATTTCAAGGTTGTCGCAAAAGCAAGTGATTCGGCCGGTTCGCGGCGAAGAAGAGACCCAGGGCATGAAACGATTGAGCACCAAAATGGTGCGGAGTTGGCGTAGCAAACGAAAAGGTGGCAAGGCAATGTGGTTGAGAAGATCACGGTTAGTAGCTCGAGAGTATAGGTGGCTTGAGGCCACGCGTGAAGGTCTCTTTTCGCCATCCACTTCCAACTCGGTGGTGCGACTTATCCCTCTTTTGTTTCTCATGTGGCGCATGACGCGCCCTGGCACCGTCTTTGCGCTGGCTGCCATCGACATTAAGGATGCGTACTTAGAAGTGCCGCAGGTGGAACCGGTGTTAGCAGATTTACCGCGGGATTATTCCGGTAGTGGTCGATACATATTCCTGCGTTGTATCCCTGGTCAGCGGGACGGTGCACAGCGCTGGTTTGACTTTTATGTCAACTTCCTTCAAGAAAGGTCTTACCCTGGAGACGTGTACGGTGAGTCCAGCGGTGATGAAAACTAAGGAAGGGCCTTTGATGCTACACGTGGATGATAATTTGGTTCTGTGTCCTTTGACATGGTTGCATGATACCCTGGTACCGCTGATAAATCACGATTCCAGGCCACAGTGGAGATTGCGTACCGCGTCGGTGATCAAATCAGCTTCCTCAAACGAGTGCACACGCTGACTGAGACCGGCATGAAGATTGCAATCAGTGATCAGTATGCGAGAAGTATGGCAAAGATCCTTGAAATTCGTGGTGGAACGGCTCAAACCCCAGACCTTGCAGAGTTCAGTGGGCATGACACGTCACAGGTGTTGTCCGAGCAGCAAGCATCCAAGTACAGATCAGTGATCGGTATTGCGCTTTACATTTCGGCCGACAGGCCAGACATTGCACACAGCGTCAGAAAGCTCTCTGCTGTGATGACACGTCCGACTGCTTTGTCATGGCGTGCTGCAATTCGATTGACCCAGTACATGTTGGCCACATCCTCATATGCATTGCATCTTGAACCCGGGGAGCCGGGGACCTCTATGTTGCATGGATGTGTTAGTGCAGGTGGCGATCTGGTGGAGTGCTTCACGGATGCCGACTGGAGCGGCAGTAAGGCCGATCGCAAATCAATCGGATCAGCCACCCGTTGCATCAACGGTGCGGTGGTTTACTTTGCCACGAGGACTCAGCGATCAGTGTCCCTCTCCTCGATGGAGAGCGAATGGTATGCCTGTGTATCCGGATGCTGCGATGCATTATTCATTCGTGAGGTCTGGGAGTTCATCTCAGGCCAACCTTCGGAGATGCACGTGTTGCTTGATAACCAATCTGCTAGGGCATTGGCTAAGCGCCAAGGTGCAGCCAAGCAAGCAAAGCACATCGCAGGGAGATTGCTATGGGTCCAAGGATCTCAGCAGACAAGCGCGCGCCATCTGCGATCCCTGTTTCATAAAAGGACAGCGAGCTCGATGCGAGCATTTTCAAACATTGGTTTCAAAATTTGGCATGCTTGATTTTACACTTGTGCTGATTTTGCAGTGACTTTTGCATCTCCGTGATTGGTCTTGGAATGCAACATGTGTATGCAGCTCAGTGCTCGAGCTGAGCTTTGGAAGAATTTTCTGGAAGACTCCGCTAGGGGCTTGTAACGGCGTCCTAGCAGGTCTCAGGCCCCTTAAGTGCTTGCTTTAGGGCGTCACGACTCCCCGCTATACGTGCGGGGCGTCAGATGGACTTCGGCGACGCGCTCGCCGACGGGTCTTCTCATCGCTCCGAGGACAGTTCCACTAGCACTCGCGAGCTTCACAGTCAGCACATTTACGATCTCCAATTGGAGGTCAACGCCCTGAGGCTTCAGGTTCAAGCCCTCAGGTCCGATTTGCAGACTTTGGAGGAGTCCCTTGCGCGCGTCTGGGTGAACCAGATGGGTCATCACCAACGCCTCTCGTGGCTTGAGGGGATCATCCAGGGCTTGCGCACCGCCTGCAGAGCCTTTCTTGAACCGCGCGAGCAATCTGCTTGAGGGAGCCGTAGCTTTCATGGCCTCCGGCTCCGTGCCCCCTGCATCTTCTGAAGGTGGGGTTTCTGAGGCAGGTGACAGTCGCCGGAGGGATGCCGCCATGGCCTTTGGGTCGTACGAGGCACATTTGGCGTCTTGCATGCGCAAGTTCAATAAGACTGGGTTTGTCCGATCCTGGGATTTTAAACTTAAGCCTTCTGCCAATTTGTTTGCCGGTATGGCACGTGCCAGCGGGCCCATGCCGCCTGTCATGTCTGTGCCAGTGCCCAAGATGGTGTCTTCTCAGGTTACCGTTGCTTCTGTTGTCAAGCTTGCCCTGGGCAGGGTCAGGCTGCAGGATTCTTGGAGTGTGCACCTTGACAAGAAGCTGCGTGCTGCCATTCAGAAGTGGGTTTCTATCGTCCTTGAGGATCCACTCACCTTTGATGTTGGCCGCAGGTGTGCTGCCGCGTCCTGCCAGGATTCCGCAGTCTCGCAAGGTTTGCTGCACACCTTTTCGGGCAAAGCTGCGGGTACCCTGCACAATCGTGCGGGACCGTTGCTCCGTTTTGTGGCGTGGGCCAAGAAGCGGCGTCTCCAGCCGCTGCCACTGAGAGAGAAAGATGTGTATGAGTTCCTGCTTGATTTGGAGGATTCCAGCGCGCCGTCTTTCGGCAAGGCACTCATGTCCTCGTTGGCGTTTTGCAAGTTCGTTTTGGGTGCTGAGTCTTTCTCTGATTCCCTTTGCAGTGGCCGCCTTACAGGGCTTGCGCGTGCCTCTTTTCTTAAAAAGAGGAAGAGGCGGCAGAAGCCGCCACTCACCGTTGCTATGGTCAAGAGATTGGAGCGCCTTGTTGTGGATGAGTCAGATAATGATGTTGACAGGCTGTGTGCAGGCTTTTTCTTACTCTGCATTTATCTTCGTGCTAGATACAGCGATGGCCAGGCCCTGATGAATCTGGTTTTGGATGAGCCGGACTCTTTCATGGGACCACTTGCAGGGTACTTCCAAGGTGAGACTTCGAGGACGAAGACCAGTTTCTCCTTGGAGAGGAAAACAGCATTGCTTCCTATGGTGGGGCCATTGTGCGGGGTGGCGTCCGTGAGGACGTGGATGAGCCTTCGTGAGGACCTCGCCATTCCTGAGGGGGAAGATTTTCCTCTCCTGCCCAGCCGTGGTCAGGAGGGCGGATGGTCGGGTGTTCCGCCCACGGCCACTGTAGCAGCTGGTTGGTTGCGCGGGATTTTGTCTGCCAGAGGTTTCCCTGAAGCCTCAAAGCTTGGTACTCACAGCTGTAAGGCTACGACTTTGTCTTGGATGTCAAAGTATGGTGTTGACGCGCTGCACCGGAGGATTTTGGGGTATCACAAGGCTCCGCAGGATGAGATGATGCACATCTATGGGCGTGACAATGTTGCGCCTGCTCTGAGGTCTCTTGAGTACGTGCTCGCCGATATAAGGATCGGCAAGTTCCTCCCGGACACCACGCGTTCGGGCTATTTCCCAACTGATCCTGAGCGCGAACCAGGTCCGGAGTTCAATGATGAACCGTCGGCCTCGGAGGCGTCATTGGACGAAGAGGACAACGTTCAGGACCTTCGTGCTGAAGAGGCTGCGGCTGATGAGATCATACCGCCTTGGGCCGAGTTAGCTGTGGGAGACCCTGATGCCCATGTGTACATCAGGCACATTACTTCCCGCAAGCTTCACCGTCTTGCTGATGAGGGCGGGAATCGGCTTCGCTGTGGGAAGAGGTGCTCGAAGAAGTTCGAGCGTCTTGCTGAGAGGCCTAGGTTTATGGCAGACATGTGCCAAAACTGTTTCAAGTGATGTGCGCACTTGTGGAAGCCGGTACACGCGGTGCTCACCGGACTCACTCGGTGATGGTTTGATGTGCTTGCGCACTTGTGGACTGCCGGACTTCGCGGCTTGGAAATTGGATGAGCTGGACCCACTCGGCTCAATTGTCTGACCCTTGCGGGTTTCACGATGTGCGCGAGTGCGTGATGCCACCGGTCCACGCGGTGGCACATGTACGAATTTCGGGCACTGGCCTGGTTTTGATGTGGCACCGACTTACTTGTCTGGTGTCATGCGAGTTTTTAGAACATGCTGAACACGAGTGTCGTGTGAAATACTTGCCGGGCGCCGTCAAGTATGTGTGATCGTGCTGAACTTGTGTCCGACAGTCAGCGGTTTGCAAGTGCATTTGTCGTTTGCGGTGAGTGTGCACTTTGGCTGGAGACTCCATAGTGCCTTGACAGGTTTTTGTGCCATGGCCGTCACAGAGAGCAAGGCAAACTTCTCTTCGAGGGCGAAGGCTCTTGGATTGGAGGATCCAGTGCTGGTGAAGTTCGTTGACGCTGGCATTGATTGCATGAGCAAGTATGCTTTCTTGAGCTCATACGTGCCCGGGAGCACGGATGAGAGCCCATTCACTGCTGCCATCGTTAAGGTGCTTGGGCGTGACCCTTCGATTGCGGAGCTCAGTGTGCTTCGCCGCTTGCTGCATGAGAGCTACAATCTAACTGTGTCTGAATTACAATCACAGGTTGAAAGGACCGATGACTCTGCTCCGAGAAAGCTCGCAGCGCCCGACCGGGCCGACAGGTTGCAGCGACAGCAGGTTCGGCTGAGTGGTTTGACGATCCACGGCCCGACTCTTCCGGGTCATGCCGTGATCGATAAGTGCGTTCAGATGTATGAGGACAACGTGCTTCATTACTTGCCGCCTCAGTCGTGCCCTTGCCGTGATGATGAGGTCAAGTTCAAAAAGGATCGCGATGATAAGATGTTGTCCGTTGATGGTGCCGGTCATGTGTCTCTACGCACCCAGGTTGCAAAGGTTGATGCTGATGTGTCCTCAGACCTTCTCCTCAAGCTGGCATTGACCCGTCGAGGTTTGGCCCTAGACCAGGCAGGGATAGTCACCTTTTCGGAGCACGAGCGGTGGGTGGAAGCACTTTTTACCGCGCGTTTCAGGGATCCACCTGATAACTATGCACGTGTGACGCTGCAGCAGCTTATGCAGGCAGATCGGCAGCTGTTTGTTGAAGCAGCAGATCGCACTCGGCATGGAATCCAACTTGTTTCTGACGGCAAGCCTGTTGATAAGATTTGGAACGAGGCAATGAATTGCAATAATGTCACACACCTTTTGCAGCCTTTGGTCGCAGCCCCTCCGGCTCCTTTCAGGCCTGGCCCGTACGATGACCGCAGGCCCTGGAAAGGCAAGGGGAAAGGCAAGGGTAAAGGAAAGGGTAAGAACAATGTCCGTATGCCCGCTGAGCTTGCAGACGGAGTTCCATCCACGACTCGCGGATTGCCAATCTGTTTCGACTTTAACTTAGGCCGTTGCCAGAGAGCTGTATCCAATGGGAAGTGCGAGCGAGGACTCCATGTCTGCTGCATCAAAGGATGTTTCAAGAGAGATCATGGATACACGGCGTGTCCCAAACGCAAGAAGGAGTGACTAGGTGTGCAATCCATGGACCAAACGACTGACGAGAAAGATGCTGCGCCGAGCGGTGAGCCTCTCGTGCGCTCTTCTTCTGAATGCAGTGTCCCTGAAGGGGAGGTTATGCATGCAGGTCCAAATGGGTTGCCTTCCGCTGAAGAATTCGCTTCTAGTCTGATTGGGAGGTGGATTGAACAGGCTGATGTTTTGAAGCTTTTCGATTGCCTCCCGAAGGCTGCGCCGCAACGCGGCTCCGGTGGCGGCATTTCATTTACCACTGGGGCCTTTGCCAAGGTCAAGGTGGGGCTTAGGAGCAATGTCGCTGTTTTTCCAAAGTCCACGCAGGTGCTGGCTGCTTTTGTAAGGCAGTCTGCTCCTGCCCACAAGTTCACAACCGTCGTGCTGTTTGATGGTGTTCGCACGGCCCCGCATCGTGATCAGCAGAATTCCTTCTTGCCTAATTTGGCCATTCCCTTGTCCCGTTTTACTAAAGGTTCAATTTGGGTGCAATCTAGCAAGGGTCCCCACACTCGGACTGTTGATGGTGCAACCCTTCAAGGGGTGGCATTGCCTGTGTCGGATGGCCCTGTCCTGTTTGATGCACGCAGGCAGACGCACCTCACTGATTCGTGGCAGGGCAGGAGGGTCATTTTGGTTGCTTTCTCTATTTCAGCCTTTGATAAGCTGTCTCTCGAGGCTTCGCAATGCTTGATTTCACTTGATTTTGCCTTGCCAACCGAGCCAGAGGTCGAGCACTTTCGTGAGCACCCCCAGCTGCCTGCTCGCCTGCCGTGGCCGCCGCGTTTCCCTCTGCTGTCGAGTGCTTCAGCAACCAAGGCTGTTACCGAGACATTGGTTCCCAAAGAACCACTTTTTCTTGAGCTATGCGCCGGCACCGCCATGCTTTCTCGCTGCTTTCGTGAAGCGGGTGTGCCTGTCATGCCCATTGATCACCAGCAAAACCGCCATCATCCGTTGGCGCAGGTCTGCAATCTCAGCTTGACCGAGGAGTCAACTTGGGTCTTCTTGCGCAATTTGGTGCGTGATCATCCTATACTCTTCGTGCACGCTGCCCCGCCTTGTGGCACGTGCTCCGCAGCGCGCAACATAAAGCGGACAGGGGTGTCCGTGGCACCGCTTCGCTCTCCTGAGCATCCCATGGGTTTGCCTTCGCTGACTGGTGTCAGCCTTGACAAGGTCCAGGCTGCAAACAAAATTTACGTTGGCCTTGCCCAGTTTCTTGATTTGCTTTGCAGGTCCAACATCCCATGGACAGTTGAGAATCCTGAGTCAAGCATGCTTTGGCAGCTGCCCTGTTTTGCTCATTTGGTAAAGAATTTTCCGAGGGTCAATTTCGACATGTGTTGCTATGGTGGTGCACGATTGACTCACCGTACGCTGCTTACATCTTGTGATGCCATCGAACATTTTCGCCAGCGCTGTCCGGGTGGGCACGACCACCTTCCGTGGAAGCCACAGCGCCGCGCTGATGGCACGATGTCTTTTCCCACTGCTCAGGAGGCAGCCTACCCCAGGCCCTTTTGCCAACAGTTCGTGGCGCTGGTCTTTAGGCATTTGGGTCGTCCCTTGCCTGTGCATCCTACTGCGGCCACGCCTGCCGCTGCTGCCACTTCTTCTGCTCGGCAACCTCGTGGGCGTAAACTGCCTCCTGTTATGCCTGAGTTCAAGCGTGTGCTTGTCTACCAAGTTCATGCTCTGCCGCCTGTTGATTCCAAGCGGTGCATTTTGCAGCCCCTCCGCGATGCTCCTTCTGGATCCAAACTTCTCTCTTCGACCTCTTTACTGCTAAGCGGGGGTGGTTCTGGGTCTTCGTTGAAGTTTTCCCGGGATGAGGTTGTGCACTCGGATAGTTCTAGCAGTGATGCCAGCAGTTGCGAATCCGTGCACGGTTCTGACAGTGATGCCTCCTGTGCGCGGACCTTGGAGCCTGCTTGCGATGCGAGAGCTTTTGAGGTTCGCCTTGGTGTGTACGCCTCTCCCGATGAATTTCTTGATGGGTGCAGAAGGGTTACTCATCCTTTCGATCACCTGCATGCCGCTCCTGATCGTCTCAAACAATGCATTTTTGACATGTTGGTCAATGGCCCGACCTGGGTTGCGCAACGGAGGGCGGCCCTACTCAGGAAGTGGACGTCCTGGGCCTCCGACCTCGAAGGCGAGGAACGTGCTTTGAAGGAGGCGCTTGATCCTCAGGTCGCCAAGGTGTTGCAAGGAAAAAGGCTAAAGCTTCTGGAGCGTATTGCCGGCTCCCTTGGTTGGGTTGACATGAAGGTTTTCGATGAACTGCGCAATGGTTTTGACTTGGTGGGCCATCACGAACACACTGGAGTTTTCGCTCACGAGCCCAGGCCACCTAAGTTGGCCGAAAGTGATTTCATTAGTGCCGCACAATTTCTGCAGCCCGCTTTACTTGGAAAGATTCGTGCTTCTGCATCCGATTCGAATGCTCGCGAGCTGTGGGACAAGACTCTTGATGAGGTGGCTGATGGCATTCTTGAGGGACCGCTTTCTGCTGAGGAGTTGTTGTCTCGACACGGGCCGTGCTGGCTCCCTGCTCGCCGGTTCGGCGTTGAACAGACTTCCTCTGCCGGCCGTAAACTTAGACCTGTTGATGATTTCACTGAGAACAAGGTCAATTTGGCTTTCGGCTCGATGGATAAGCTTGATCTTAACGCGCTTGACGAGTTGATTGGGATCAGCAGGTTGTGGATTCGGGTTCTGAACGGGCCGCCCGATTTCACAATCCCTCTCTCAACTGGTGAATCCTTGAGTGGTCGTCGGCATGACGGCTGGAAGAAGGTGGGGTGCGAGCCTCTCCTCACTACCTTGGACCTCCGAGCGGCTTATAAGCAATTTGCGGTTTCTGCGAAGTCGCGGGCCCTGGCAATAATCGCATTGCTTGACCCTTCGACTGCTGAGCCTGGACTCTTTGAGTCGAAGGCCCTACCTTTCGGGAGTTCCGCTTCGGTGCTTCGCTTCAATCGCCTTGCGCGCCTATTCTGGCGCATCGGCGTGGAGCTGTGTGTGCCTTGGTGCAACTTTTACGATGACTTCCCTGTCATGTCTCCGAGTGGCATTGCTGACAACACCATGGAGACCATGATTGCCCTGTGTAACCTGTTGGGGTTTAGGTTCGCCTCCGATAAGCTTTCCCCCTTTAGGGCCCAGGCCACGATGCTTGGAGTTGAGGTTGATTGCTCTCGCTTTTCTGAAGGCTTAGTTCTTGTCCGGAACAAGCCGGGCCGGGCTGAAGAGCTCATTGCTTCTCTTGACGAAGTCCTTGAGGAGGGATTGATTTCTAGGAAGCGGTATCTAAGCTTAATGGGTCGCCTGCACTACACTGACTCGTACATCCTTGGCAAGGCCGGACGCCTCTTCTTGGCAGAGGTTAGGTCTTGGGCAAAGGCGCACTCGGGACCTGAGTTGAAGCTTGATGATTGTGTTCGGCGGTCTCTTGAGAGATTGCTGAACCGACTTCGTTGTGGCACTCCTCGCCATGTCCCTTGTTCCGTGGCCGATCACGTTGTACACATTTACACCGATGGGGCGAGCGAAGGAAGCTCCCACACCGTGGGAGGGGTGCTGATGTTTCAGAATCAGGTTCACACTTACTTTGGTTGCTCGGTCCCTGCTGTCCTGGTCTCGCGCTGGGCCGAATCCATGTGTCACTTCATAGGGCCCATAGAGGCCTACGCCGTTGCCGTCGCGAGGAAGGCTTGGCACCAATTCATCGCGGGACACAGATGTATCTTCTACATTGATAATGTGCCTGCACAAGATTCTTTCATCAAGGGCACCTCTGCCAATCATCACGTCAGGGACATATTGTTGTCTTTCGAGGCGGCCGAAGAGCTAAGTGCTTCTTGGTCCTGGTTCGCCCGTGTTGCCAGCCAGAGCAATGTGGCCGACGCTCCGTCACGTGGTGACTTTGCATCCTTGATTAAGCTTGGTTGTCGTAGGGTTAGTCCCTCGTGCCCCCTGCCGTGTTTCGCCCCGTGCAAAATGAGTGAATGTGCGATTGCATCATATGCCGCATTATTTGGAATCATGTTCATGCTTGTGATTGGATTCATTTGCAAATATACCTTGAGTCCTTTACCTTGGCATATGTTTGAAAATCCGATTATGAAAAGGATCTCAGCAGACAAGCGCGCGCCATCTGCGATCCCTTTTTCATAAAAGGACAGCGAGCTCGATGCGAGCATTTTCAAACATTGGTTTCAAAATTTGGCATGCTTGATTTTACACTTGTGCTGATTTTGCAGTGACTTTTGCATCTCCGTGATTGGTCTTGGAATGCAACATGTGTATGCAGCTCAGTGCTCGAGCTGAGCTTTGGAAGAATTTTCTGCCCACCCACCACTCCCTGTGTGCTGCTCTGGCTCTACGTGCCATCGAGCTTGCCAACCTTTCATGTCGTGTTTCGAGCTCTCCACGAGCTCCGCTTCACTTGTGTTCCGCCGCACTCGCTTTGCGTGCCGCCGGTGTTGAGCTCTCTTGTGAGTTCCACCTGTGCCTGCCGTAGGTGTAGCTGCGTAGTTGTAGCCGTAGGCTGTGCCAAGTACGCTGTGCTCAGCTGCTTGCTGTCTACTCTTGCAGTCCGTTTCACTTGTGGTAGTCCGTAGCTGGCGTACGTGCTACTGCACTGGTCCCACCCTCCTCGCCAGACCGTGTTTCGCCCCGTGCAAAATGAGTGAATGTGCGATTGCATCATATGCCGCATTATTTGGAATCATGTTCATGCTTGTGATTGGATTCATTTGCAAATATACCTTGAGTCCTTTACCTTGGCATATGTTTGAAAATCCGATTATGAAAAGATTATGTGAAGCGTCACGTTTTCAAAGTGATGCCGGTGAGTTCGGCGTATAACCTCGGTGACATCGGGACCAAGGCTTTGGCAAAGGCTAGACTGCGCGCATTGATGTATATGCACAATTTCATTGATGCTTCGAGCGATGAGAGGATTGGAAAGTTTGAGTATGAGCAGATGCAGCAGCAAGAGTATGTGAAGGCACAGATTAAGAGAGTGAAGAAGAGCGTGAACACTTCCACGAAGCTTCATTCGAACATCTTCATGGTCATGTGCAACCTGATGCCGCTGTTGACTGATGCAACAAAGCTTTCTACTTCTACTTCTACGGTGAGTATGGGATATGCAAGCTACATGTTTCCACTTTGCATGGTTCTTTTGGTGGCGCTTTTCGCTGCACGGGCCTTGGGCCTGAACGACTTTTCGACTTTGCGCTTGAGCATTGGTTTTCAGTATGCACCGCAAGCTTTGGATATGAATGGCTATGTTATGCAGTGCTTTGCATTTGCCTTTATGCTTATCGGCTTCATGCAGGGCGTGAGTGCTGAGCAGTACGCAAGCTTGGCATTGATGATCACATGCGGTGCTCTGTGGAATGAGAACAGAAAATTGAGAGCCCAATGCGTTGTGGTCCATTCGAGGCCACATGAGGGTCCTTTAGTGGCCCATGGAGGTAGAATTCTGGAAAACCCAGCGGCCTTAGTTGTACAGGTGCCGGAAGAAGTGTTCGTAACGACACGTGGAGTTTGCTTTCACAAGGGTACCTGTGGCCACGTACGTGGTAAAGCACCTAGGAGTGTGCGTCGTTGTTTGGATTGTTTTGGCTAGCGTACAAGCAGTCCTGTTGGCCACAGAAGTTCAAGCGATTGACCAATGTCGGAGTACATGGTCTATCGGGCGGGGTGATGAACTTTGTTTTGCCCCAACGTACCCTGTTTTACCCTACCTTAGCGTAGTGCTTTTGAACGTTGTCCGCATGGCATGAGTACATGTGTGATTCCGTTTGCACGGTTGATCGCGAGGCCCAAAGTGTAGTGGAAAAGTGCATCCGTTTCTTCAAAAACACCGAAGCCAGGAAACGCGAGCTCGTTGCCTCCATCGAATCCATTGTGCAGCAAGGTGGAGCGCATGCCAAGGAACTTGAGTGCTTACGGGGCCGTCTGCAGTTCGCCGAGTCGCAGGTGTTTGGTCGTGGTGCGGCCCAATGCATGCGAGCCATCTCAAAAGCGATGAAACTCTCGGGTTTTGTGGTTCTTGACGATTCCTTGACTGAGGCCCTACTTTTCTTGAAAGATCGTGTTTTGCACGGGGATGCAAGGTTGATCAAAGCCTGCGATCGCCCCACCTACCACTTGTTCACAGACGCTTCCTATGAAGCGGATGTGTCAGCAGGTCTCGGGGGCATCCTTTATAGTGATGGGGGTTTGCTTCTTAGATGGTACTCTGAGTCTGTCGACACGGACGTCTTGGAAGCCATAAACAAAGAAGGCAAGCAAGGTCTGATCTACGAGTTGGAGGCTTGTGCCGCAGTGCAGGGTGTGGTGCAACTTTGAAATTCCTTGAGTGACTGCGACCTCATTTGCTATTGCAACAATGAAGCCGCCCTCGCGGCTCTCATCAAGTGTGCTTCCGAATCCCCGGTGGTAAGCATCGCAGCTCAACAAGCTCAGCATGCTTGAGGATGAGAAAGGGATCAGTGTATGGTTCGAGAGAGTGGAGTCGTCTGCGAACCCCGCCGACGATCCTTCACGCTTTGTGCTTGACAAGCTTCCCACTAGCTTCAGAGTCCGTTGGATTCCAGGCGAAGAGCTGTTGTTCTAGCGGCATCTGATCTTGAATGGGGAGTGGCATCATCTGCCTTTCACTTGCAGGATGTTTTCACTTGCGGGAACATGCCGGAAATCTCGATGCGGGATAATCTCAGCTTTGCCATTTTCTGAACATCGGCCACGAATGTGGAGCCGGAATCATTACCAGTCTGCACCCCTCGCTCTAAAAAGAAACAGTGCAGTGCGAGTGCTTCTGTCCGTGAGTGCAGTTGTGATGCAGTCATGTACATGTGCTTCATGCTTTGTTGGTGCGCTTGGATGCCTATTTTGAAACTTGTTTCATTTGGCTTTATAGCTCAAGCTATGTTTCAAATGCGACGTTGCTTTTGAAACTCGCTTTTCGCACAACCTTCTTTGAACCTGGGGGGGCAAACAACCTGATTTTTAACTTGTGACTTTGCCGTGAATCTCTCGTCATGATGCGAACCTTGATGTTGATCTTTTGAATGACTTTGCCTTCGGCAGTCATTTGTGGATCGAGTTCGCCATCTGGCGAGATTCGAAATTTTTGTGGGGCTCTCTACAGGCCTGTAGTGCTTGCTAGCAGCCCCCAGGTGCTAACCCAGTGCTGGGCCTAGCCCTCCGTGCAAGACTGCCGCTGTGAGGCGGTCGGATGGACTTTGGCGACGCTTTGTCTGCAGGTTCTAGTCCGCGCGGTGCAAGTGACTCCCCTAGCACTGTCAGCGAAATCAGCAGGCATCTTTACGAGCTTCAGCTTCAGGTTAATACTCTTGAGGCCCACGTGACCGCTTGTGAAAGGCGCATCAGGCATTTGGAACAACAGCTTCCTTCCTCGCGAGTCTCCGACTCCGAGAACACGTGGGCCGCTTCTGTTGTCGGTTCGTTTTTCACTTGCCTTGCGCGCCGCTAGCTTGCAGCCTGAGTCTCAGCCTACCTGCTTCATTCTGCCGAGTGATTTGGGGAGTAAGCTGTCATCATGAAGCGATCGGCCGACCACGCATATGAACAACATCTTGATGAGGTGCTCAGAGGTCCTAAGAGCCGGTTCGTGCAGCCCTGGGAAAGGTCCCCTGTGCTTCAGCCTTTCAGGTTGTTTCCGCAGCTTCCCAGGCATCAGCAGGTGGCAGTTGCCGTGCCGCTCGGCTTGTCGAGCGGGCCAGCCCCTCCACCCAAGGATCCTGGCCAAAGTTCCATATCACATGTCGGGCCCAAGGCAAAGTCTCTTGGGAAGTCCTGGAAAGCCAAGATGTCTGACAACAGGCTTGCCGCGCTTGTAAAGTGGGAAAGGATTGTGGAAGCTCACTCCGAGCACTTTGGCTTTGTGGCCGAAGCCCGCCGTGAGCCTGAGCTGGCTTCGTACTCCTTGCATGATGTCTTGAGCGACATTTTCTCGGTGAAAGCCAGCAGCACTTTGCATACTCGTTCAGGCCCCCTGCTTCGATTCCTTAAGTTCTGTCACGATGAGAAGCAAGCACCATTTCCTCTTCGTGAGAGCCTGATTTACTTCTTCCTCAAGCAGTATGGTTCTAAGCAGGCCCCTACGTTTGCTAGCAGCTTTCTGGGGTCTCTGGCGTTTTGCTACCATTTGTTAGGCCTGATGTGTCAAGATGAGGTTTTCTCCACCAGGGTGACCGGGGCGGCCCGAGGCCTTTTCCTTGAAAAGAGAAAGCTTGTGCAGAAGCCACCGCTTCTGGTTGCATTCGTTCTTGCCTTGGAAAATATTGTTCTCGGTCAGGGCGAATTTAGCTGGGCGGACAGGTACGCTGCCGGATGCTGCCTTTTTGCGATCTATGCCCGTGCCAGGTTTAGTGATATGCAGTCTTGTGGAAACATCTTTGAGGATATTGCCTACATTGACGGCAAGCCTCACGGATTCTTGCAAGCCGATGTCACCAGGACGAAAACTGCATACACTTTGGAGAGAAAAACAAAGTTCTTAGCAATGTGCGCCCCGATCTGGGGCTTGGCTGAGAAGCCGTGGGCAATCGCTTGGAGAGCTATCGCTAAGGACCACGGCCCTCCCTGCGAGGAGGACTTGCCCCTGTTGCCCTCTCCCGTGGAGGGTGGGGGATGGCAGGAATCTCCTGTCGGCGTTGAGGTTGGGGCCCGCTGGCTCCGCAGCCTCTTAGCCTGCTGCTGCGGTTAGGCTTTTAGGGACCCACTCGATGAAGGCTACGGTTCTAAGCTGGGCCGCAAAGTGGGGCATGTCCAAGGAATTGCGTATGATCTTGGGGTACCACAGCTCCTCTAGATCCGACAGTGATGTGGTTTACGGCCGAGACAACGTAGCCCCCGCGCTGCGAGAGCTGGTTTCCATGCTTCAGTCCATTGCCCAAGGTACTTTCAGACCGGACGCCACTCGAAGCGGCATGTTCGTATCGATTCCAGTTCCTGCGGAGTCCGGTGATGGAGATGACATATCTCTCTCTTCTGAAGGCAGCGAAGACGAGGAAAACAAGGACCCCACCGTGGAGGACGAGGCCGTCGATTCAGTTGTTGGCCTTTGGGAGCCCTCGGAAGGGGTCCGTGAGAATCTCGAGAAGGCGCCTGTCTTCAGGCATGAGGTAACAAGGTTCCTCCACATTGTGGCCTCTGAAGAAAGGTCTCATTTCAAGTGTGGGAGAAAGATCTCAACTTCTTATGTGCGCTGTGAGAGTCTGCCGAAAGTTTTGTTTCCAGTATGCAAGCAGTGCTGTCCCGACGTGAAATCGGTCGAGGCGGGCACTGACGCCGGATAGACTTTTGTTGTCGCAAGGGCGACACAACGAGGGGCGATTTTGTGCTTAAAGAGTTGCTTGCTCGCTTTCATGACGGTTCGAGTCTCTTTTACAAGAGGGGCGAGTGTCTCAAGTTGAACAGTCCATGCTGAAGTCTTTGCGCATGCGTAGACCAGGGCATTCGACTCCTTATTGGAGACCTGAGAGAGCGCTTTGAGGGATCAAATGCGGGGCGAGCCGAGTGCAGGTACTCTTGTGAATGCTCCTTCGGAAATGTATTCTCAAGGCGCCAACTGGCGGAGGCGGCAACATGGCTGCTTCTTACTCAGATAGCCGTAGTGTTTTTGATGCCAGGGTAGACGCATGTGGGTTGCCGCGGGAAGATGCTGCGAAGGTCAAGGCTGCTGTGGGTTCACTTCGGCAACTTGCTTTCATATCCAGCTTTACTCCGGGTCAAGCGGATGAGGCCCCACTTATGGCTGCTCTGAAGTCGATGCTGAGCCGAGATGCTGAATTGGCTGTTCAAGCTAGTTTCAGGGCATTATACCACGAGGCTTATGCTATCGTTACTTCGGAGATGCGTCAAAAGATCGAGAAGAGTGAAGAGCCCACGGCAAGGAGGCTCACCCAGCCCGAGCGTGCCGAAAGGCATGAGAAGCAAGTCGCGAAGCTCGTGGGCGTGCTTATCAAGGGCCCTTCGGAGCCCAGCGAGGCACTCGTCGATAAGGCCGTGTCAGCTTATGAGCAAAATGAGCTGAGGTACATTTCTTGGGAATCTTGCACCTCCCGGGAACAAGAGGTTGCATCGGAACGCAAGAAGGATACTCGCTTTACGATCGATGAGCACTCAGGGAAGCTCAAAGTTGAGAACAAAGATGCTGAGGACAAGGCCTCCACTGCTTCGGAGGTCCATGTGCTTCAGGCTTTGCAGAGGCGATCACTTGCCCTGGATCAGGCCAATCTTCTTGAGCACACCCTGATGCAGCAACGGTCGGACCGCCTGTTGCGAGCCAGGATGGACGATCCGCCGCCCCAGTACAGCCGTCCGTCCTGGAGCCAGCTTGTGGCTGCAGACAAGAAGCTCTTCAGTGAGTTGAGAGACCTGACGAGAGACGGAGTTCAGTCATCAAGTGGAGGGGTACGCCCGCTCGACAAGCACCTCCCTGCTGTCATGATGTCGTACGATGTGGTCTGCTTGCTCCAGCCCATGCCTCAGTCGGCCAGTGGGCGGAGCTCCGATGATTCCGGCAAGGAGCGCCCCGCTCCCTACACTCCCAAGGGTCCTAGAAAGGGCGCTGGGAAAGGCAAAGAGGGCAAGGGAAAGGGACGCATGCCTGCACAGCTTATCGCTTGGGGCTGCACTTCGGCTACCAAGAAAGGAAGTGACCACATCACTTGTGATTTTCACTTTATTTCCAATTTCACAACGATTGTTGTCTCGTTGAGAAACGATCGTGCATGAACACTTCGGGCGGTTTTTGGGAAACTCTTTTGAACCTGATTTTTAACGATTGAGTTTTTCATGAACTTCGTTCTTTGATGATCAGTTGCTAACATGTCTCCCGCGCACGCTCCTTCAAGCACATGAGTGCAAATTTTTGTGTTGAGCCTTGGGGCCCCTGCGTGAGTGCGGTCTCGACGTGCGTCGGTGCTCCCGGCAGTGGTGGCAGTTCCGGGTCCGTCCCGGGCTGCGAGTCGGAGTGAGATACACCGGACACCCGAGGCCGCCACTCCGCAACACGTTGCATCTAGAAAGGTTCTGGGTGCTAACCGTGGGGTTCTGGACATAGTTTCCTCGGCTCATGTCGGACCCCGCTCGGGCAACTGCAGAGGACAATCTGGCGGGCGAACTGGCTGGCCCAGGGACCGTGCGGTCTTTTGCTTCGCCTGTGGCCGGGTTTATCTCTGACGTATTTCCGACAAGTGCGACTACACGCAGCCACGTTTCGTCGGAGAGCGATTGTGATGCTCACCGGCTGGTTGACCGGTTTCCTGCGGCTGGCTCCGCGCTGGACTACGTGGATGACTCTGCGGATGGGCGGGCTGTAGCCGATGCTGCCCTTTGGGCCCGCCTCCAGAGGCTCGAGCAGGAGCGGCGGTCATTTCCTTGGAGCTCCGCCTCTGAGCAGCAGGGCTGGATCCGCGTGGTGCGGAATGGCGTGGAAGAGTCCGTGGTCTCCTGGTCTGGCCGTGATACTATGACGGCTCTCACCAATGCGGCGGCTCAGACTTGTGGGTCCCCTTTTGATGCTTGGCAGGTCGAGGAGATCGAGATGCGGCTCCGTTCCTGTGGCACGCGTGCTTCTTTCGAAAGCACCATTGAGGATGCCATGGCCGACAATATGTCTCGTGCTCTTCGACTTCTGCGTTCAGGTCGCTTTGGACGGCGTGTGGCCGCCTCTCGACGGCGGCGCTAATGGTGTTACGCCGCCTTTACCCGGCGTGGCTGCAGTGGTCTTTTGGACTACCCGACTGCTGAATGGCTTCGCCTTGGGCTGGCACCTTCGGCTGCTATGGAGGCTTTATTTTGTGGCCGATCGTCCTCCTGGAACGGTGATGGTCGACTAAACTTCCAGGCCTCCGCTTCTGTAAAATGTGTTCTTCCGTGACATGCACTCAGTTGAGCCTGCACTCATTGTCCTGCCTCATGAGTGATTTGCCGAAGCTGTCATGACAATTTTCTTGTTGCTCGCGCGCCTGCCCAGATGCATCCCTAACAGATGTTCATGTGGCGGGCATGCTAGGACACTTCGGCGTACTGAGGAGCTTATCAACCAGTGCTCTTTTCCAGGCTAAGTGCCGTGCTGCACTTCACATAACCTACGTCACGATTTGGGAGTGCCTTTTGTGCTAGGTTTGTCGCTGCGCATGTCCGATAGCCCTCAGCGTGACACGACTGCTCTGCTGGAAGATATCGAGCCTTCTCTTCAGGGGCTGCTTTGCATTCCGGCGGCGGTTGCCTCTGTGGGCGACTGCCTCTGTGCAGTCGATCGGCATTCGCTTGAGCTGATCTGCTGGTGGTGGCACGCTGACCTCAGGTGGCACTTGCGTGAGTGGTCACCCGTGGATTCGGCCGTTGCCTCTCAAGCTTCGGCGACACAGAGTCCTCGGCCCGCTGGATAGTGTGGCTCCGTGACCTGGGGTCGCCCTCTTGTGTCGCGCTCTTGCTGTGGGTGCGATACGGGAGCGCTCATGTCTCATTTCGACTTCAAGACTCTGCTTGCTTCTGCCGTTGACTCATGCTCGGAAGCCACTCCTAGGGATAAGCTGCTTCCGTGGGAGTCTGGAGTGTTCAAGCAGATCTTCGAAGGGGAGGATCCTTTGTCTTGGAAGGACAGGTTCGATCTGCCGGACCCACCGGGGTGGGATCATGGCGACGAGGAAACTCTGCTTCCAGCCGAGAAGAAACGCAAGGTATTGGATGCTGATTTCTCGCAAGGCATTTGCTTTACTGTTGTTCGCAAGACTGAAGGATTGAGCTGGGAGGATCAACGGCAACAGGATTCTGACAAGGCTATTGCTAGATGGATTTTCATCATTGTGAAGTGGTCTGAGACGTGTCCTGATTTGTTGGTATGCCAAAGTCTGGATGAATGCACCGAGAAAGATCAAAGGATCAACGTGGTCCAGGATTGGCTGCATCCCAAGGCGCCGAGCACTTTGTTGAAGAGAGCCAATTCTATTATGGGATATCACAAGGTTGTTGGCTGGGGCGACGGGACTTTTCCTTATCGTGAGCAAGATGTGTACCGATACATGTCCGATGCTAAGGCCGGTGGGGCGAAACCATCACAGCTGAAAGCTCTGCGAGAGGCTATAATCTTCGTGCGGCATGTTTTCATGGTCCCCCAGCTAGACCGGGTGATTGAAAGTCGTCGCTGTCTGGGGGCGTCGCAGAGGGGAACTGTGAAGCGTGGCAAGAAGAGGGCTCATCCGTTCTCCATTCTGGAATTGAAGAAGCTCCACCATTTGCTTGCGGACAAGGATGTTCCAGCTTGGGACCGCACCTTCGCAGGAGCAGTTCTCTGTTGCACTTACATGAGATCGCGTTGGGGGGACTTTCAACATGCAGTCAGCTTTGATATCGAGATGAACGGCCAGGGGGACATCATTTTCTTGGTGTACACTGTTGAGGTGTATAAGACAGTGAATTCCAAGTACTTTGCTGGCGAGCCTGTTAGGTTCATCGCTCCTGGAGTTGGGATTCTCAGTGACAACTGGCTGCACTTGTGGAAACAGGCTCGTGCGGAGGTCGGACTGTTTACATTCCTGCCGCCGCTGCCTACGCCCAATGCTGCTGGCGAGGCCATGGGGTGTTCGGTCTCTTCTAAAGAGATCACTGCTTGGATCCAGAAGGTCTTGGGGCGCGACAATAACAAAAACACAACAGGACACCTCATGAAGCGCACCTTCTTGACCATGGCTGCAAAGCGTGGCGTTGAGCACCTTGATCGGCTAACCATGGGTGGTCACGCCAACTCGGCAAAGATGGCCGACACTTATGGTGATGACGAGCTGGCGCGGCCACTAAGGTTGCTCCTGGCGCTCTTGGAGGAAATCCGCGAAGGTGTCTTCGACCCGGACGCTGGACGTGCGGGGTACATCTTCGGTGCCGGCCTGCGTGAACGCCGGCTGACGGCGGATAGGATGGAGGTCCGCGACCCTGCAGCCGCAGGTGCCTTCGCAGCTGACGCGGGGTCCGAGGCCACAGATGGTAACTGCCCTGCTGATCAGTCTGGCAATAGCAAGGACAGCTTAACCGAGCAAGATGCGGCCTCGTGGGACCTTCCGCCCCCTGAGCGGTTCACTGACGATGATTGGAGAGACTTGGGCATCTCTCCTCCAAGCCCAGAGCATGCTGCCGCCAACGAGGAGCCGGAGGCGCCCGACATTGGCGATTTGCCGGTACACCCGTGGGACAACTTGATCGAGGAACCTAATGGGAATGCTTCCGAGACGGACTCTTCCAGTTCAAGCTGTTCAGATGAGTCGTCTTCTTCATCTTCAAGGATCAGTCACGAACCTGAGCGCAAGGTGGGTGTACCGAAGCCCGCCCTAGGCACATCTTTCCTGCAACACAAGCGGACTCGGCTTTTGCACTTGATTTCCGATCAAAATCGGAAGGTTTTGCTGTGCGGCCGCATGGTTGGTGACACATACAAGCCACCAATTAAAATTCGATTTGACTCTTCAGTTTGCCGGAACTGCAAGAAGTTCGCGGCAGATCTGTGAAACGTGCCTCTCCGAAAGACTCAAGTACTCTTCGTGTGTGCATGCTTGCACTGTCGGTGCTACTGTCGTGGAAGCCTCTCCGCTTGAGTGTTTTGTGACTCAGACACAGGGCATCATGTCGCTAGTGGATTCAGAAGCTGCCTTCACCCAGCGATGCCAGGAGGTGAATGCGGGAACCATTCACACAGCCTTGCGTGACAATGGTGTCACGACCTTCGCTAGTCTGGCTTATGCATGCGGCACACCTCAGGATCGCCCTACGCAGACCGAGCTGGATGCGTTCAGTACTAGGATTCTCGGAGCTGCACCTCGCTTGGGCGACGTCTCGCTCTTGAAGCGACTCATCTTCGAATCATGCACCTTTGTGATCGCACAGTTACGCCAGAATGTTCAAGGCGATGCTTATGAGACCCCTAAAAAACTCCCCTTGGCTGAAAAAGCAGCTAGAGCGGCCGATCAGAAACGCCGCTTGGCGGGGGTCCACATAGAGAGGGACTCTGTTCCATCTTATGCCTTGGTGGATTTGTGCTTCCATATGATCGAGGTCGGGGTGACATGGATCAGCCCAGGCCGCTGCACGAGTCGCGAAAGCGAGATCCAACTCTCGACCCGCGATCAAACCAAGGTGTTTAAGCTGGAGGATAACAGCTTGAAAGTCGGAAACGAGGGCCCTGATGATGTGGCCTGCTTCGACTCTCCCATACGGCTTCAGTGGTGTCTTCAAAGGAGAGGCCTTGCACTTGATCAAGCTCGCTTAATGTCTTGGCAACAACATGAGAGGTGGGTGCATTGCCTCCTCCACGCACTCACGCGCGAGTGCCCTTCAGGGTTCCACAAGCCGGATATGAACCGGATTGTGCAAGCCGACCGGGAGGCATGGCTCATTCTTGCATCGGAGGTGCCGAGTCTCAAGGTTACAGCCGCCGGTGAGTTTCCGCTTGGTGTTGCACTCGAGGCCCTCCGCACCGACCCACGAATCACCATGTATCTTATGCCGACTTGGGGCCGGCAGCCTGACGTCAAGATGCCTCTGGATGTCCCGTCCCCACCAAAGGACGGCGAGGGTTTGTCTCGCTCGGCAAAACGTCGGAGGCGCTTGAAGGCGGCGGCGGCACGGAATGCCACGCCGCCTGGAAAGTCGACTTCGACCCCAAAAGGGGCACGTGCCATGCCTGCAGAGTTGAAGGGCACGCACCAGAAAACCGAAGATGGCAAGCTCATTTGTTGGGATCACAACTGCGGCGGCTGCAAGCTCAAGACTGACGGTGATCCCCCAGCGTGCCAGCATGGTGTTCATGTGTGTGCCTTCTGTCGTAGGGCGGGTCACTCCTTTCGCAATTGCCGTGCTCGCAATTGGAAGGGCACTGGTAAAGGCAAAACCAAGGAGTGACTAGTCGTTGCAACCTCCGGCCAGGTTGAGGCTGGAAGGATCACTGGCCAGAATGACGACGGGCTGGGATACACTTTTTCTCCGGTGCCGGTGACAGCACAGGACCTTTCTTCTGCTGAATCGCTGGCCGCCCAGTGCCTGAATCTTGGCTTTGCAAGTTTTGCACAGCTTCGCGAGCTCAGTGCTCGCTTGCCGGCGGACTCTGTGGGGGCACCTTCAGGCCAACCTGTTGCTCCTGCGGATCCCAAATCTTTTACTTCTGGAGCCTACGTGCACCACGACAAGAACGGGCTCCGATCCAATTGTTTTGCATTTCCTTTTTCCACACAACTGCTTGCACGCATATTGTCGGCTGAGTTTCCTGATGCCTGTTTTTCTTCAGTGGGCCTATTCTTCAACTTGAAGGCGCCGCTTCATTCGGATCGCAATAATGATCATCGACACGCCAACCTGTTGCTGCCAGCCTCGCATTTTTCAGATGGTCAGGTTTGGGTGGAAGGTCGCGGGAAGCATCCGTGTCCTGACCTCTCCGCCAAACGCCTTGGTTACCTGCTTGATGTGGCTTCTGGCCCGCAACAGCTGCCCTCAGAGCGTCTTCACAGTACATGCCCCTGGACAGGGGACCGCCTGCTCGTGGTGGGTTTCTGCGTTCGTGATACACAGCGACTCTGTGAACGGGACTGCCACTGGCTGCGGGACTCTGGTTTTCCACTGCCCGGCCCTCCCCAAGATCATGCGGCCGCTCCTCGCCAGGTCACTTCAACGACTTCTTCGCCCTCTTTGTCTACCTCTGCGACGCCGCCGCCACAGGCCTCAGCTTCCATCGCCAAGCGCCGCCGCGTTGCATATCGACCTGCCTTGCCAGTGCATTCTACAGCAACGTCGTCTAGATCTATGACGCCAACTACACCGGACGACCAACATGCTGATGTATTGGCTGAGAAGATCTTCCCGAACAACCTGGCTCCACTTGTTATCGAAATCTTTGCGGGCACCGCCCGCCTCAGCACTGTTGCTGGGCGCATGGGCTTTCGTACTTTGGCGGTGGACCGCTCCTCGCAAAGAACCAATTTCTCTATACAACGACTGGACCTTACGTTGGATGCCGACTTGCAAACGCTGCTTGACATCATCAATCTGGAGGCTGACAACATTGCTTGGATCCATTTGGCACCTCCTTGTGGTACGGCCTCGGCGGCGCGATCCAGGCCTTTACATAAGGCTGAACACTACAGCTGCCCTGTGCCTCAACCACTACGCAGTGTCACGGAGCCGCAGGGCCTCTCCACACTGACCGGTGCCGACCGCGATCGTGTACTCGCTGCCAACAAGTTGTACCGAGCTGTCGGCTGCATCGTTGACCTCGCCCTGCAGCTTGGTCTTTTCGCGACCGTTGAGAACCCTCTCAACAGCTTGGCTTGGCTATGCGATGGCCTCGACCACCTTTGTCGCCGTGAAGATGGCTACCAACTCATCTTTGATGCTTGCATGCATGGCGGGGATCGCGACAAAACTACCTTATTCTGGTGCTCCGACCCACGCTTTCAGTCGCTGGCATTGCGTTGTTCCCGTGACCACAAACACGCATCCTGGAAACCTCGCTTTGTGGATGGGCATTGGCAATTCCCCACTGCTGCGGAGGCGGCATACCCTTGGCTTCTTTGCGAACGGATGCTTTACATTTTGGCTGAGGGTTTTCCTGCATTGGCTTCAACTTCACAGCAGCCGCGAGCCTGTGAGCAAGTCGCACTGCAGCGACAGCCAAAATATGCTAGACCTCTGGTTTCATGCTACCAATCACACGACTGCTGGGCTGTACCCGTACGCTCCGCGGACGCTGCGGCACCTCTTTTGAAGTGCTACCCCAAAGGTGCTCGTGTGACGCAACGCAAACTGGTGCAGTGGGGAGCAGTCCGGGTTTGCGCTGCCTCGAAATATCCTGGCTTCGACCGACATAGTTCTGCAGAGTTGCTGGGAGGGACGGCCAAGATCTATCAACCTGACACTTCCGATTTCTCTTTGCTTGCAAGCGAGGATAAAAACGACGTGTACGAGGTGGTGGGAATGGTGTGCGATGACAATCCTTGTGCGACCCAGGCAGAAATTCTTACTATTGGAATTCCACGTGAACCGGAGGACTTTGTGAAGGCTGCGGTCCAAGCGGGGCACCCTCGCAATGCAATACTGGTCAATCGCCAAGGTCCGGCAAAGGAAATCGCTGCCAACGTAGTTATGCCAGCAGAGGAGCGCAAGAAAAGGGCCGATGAGGCTCGGGATGCGTGGAAGAAAATTTCCAAGGAGTCGGCTGAGACCAACGACGCGCTTATGAAACAAAAGCCCGCGTACTTGGCGAAGGCGCTGGCTGGCAAGAACGTCATTGCTTGGCAGCGCATTCTTGAGCGAAATGGTTTCCCTGACCAGATGCTTTGGGCTGACTTGCGGGATGGCTTCCGCTTGACAGGATGGATGAGAGAGACCGGAATCTTCAAGCCTAGAGTCAAAGCACCGGAATCCTCCCTTGAAAGTCTGCTAGCACAATCGTCTTACCGATCTCCCATGACTATGAGCCGGATAACAAACACGAAGCCAGACGAGACGTCTAGGAAGGCGTGGGCTGAAACCCAAGAGGAGGAGCGCAAGGGCTGGATCTTCGAGGACACTGCCCCTGACTTCAGCAACATCATTCTGGCGCACCGCTTCGGACTTGAGCAGAAGAACAAAGTACGGGTGATTGACAACGGCAAGGATTGCGGCTTGAACATGGCTTGCGGGCTGCCAGAGAAGTTCACCCTGCACGGGGTCGACGTTCTGGCGGCTGTCTTCCTTGAGTTGTTGAATATGCCACGTGACCGCTTGTTCAGATTGGTTGGGAAAACAATAGATCTTGTCTCCGCTTACAAGTTCTACCCCGTACATCCTCTTGACAGACAACACTTGAGGATTGGTGTGTTCGACACGGACAGCAAGAGGGCGCGGATCTATGGGACTAATGTCCTACCTTTCGGTGCCACCGGAAGTGTGGCTGGCTTCCTTAGGGTGTCAGCCGCCGTTTGGCACACTGGCGTCCGAGACATGGGCTTGGGCTGGTGCGCATACTTCGATGATTTTCCATTGCTATCTTGTGATGGAATGGAGGAACAGATCGAAGAATTCGCCGACGAAGTTTTCGAGGCTCTTGGGATTCAGTATGCAAAGGAGGGCAAGAAGGCAACAAAGTTTGATGCGGTTTTTAATGCGCTTGGCTTGGCCTTCGACCTGTCGGGATTCGAGAGCGGAGTCATCTCCATCACACATACCAGCGATCGAAAGAAGGAGTTGAACGACGTTCTCGCGAACATCTTGCAGACGGGAAGACTTAGCCCCAAGGAGGCTGAAGTCCTCCGCGGGCGCATGCATTGGTATTCTTCTTACTTGTTCGGACGGGCACCGTGCGAAGCTATGCACCAACTTTCCTTGAGAGCCAGAGGAATCGATGGTTCATCAGAACTGAGCGCTGATCTGGATTGGGCGGTGAGGACACTGCTCCAACACGTCAGTACCTCGAGACCCTTGGAGTTGAGGCAGACTTCCGGGAGAGAGCTCTTCATTTTTACTGATGGATCTTATGAACCTGGCGCTGGGGTTGTGGCCGGCATCGGAGGAATCATTTACGATGCCTCTGGCGTCCCGTTGGCTTTCTTCAGCTCGGAGATCCCTAAGTCTGATTTGGAATTGCTGGAGGCTGAATCCGAGCATCCAATCTATGAAGTCGAACTCTACGCGGTCCTTGTGGCGTTCATGCTATGGGCGGAAGTGTTGAGAGATACCTTCAGCACCTTCTACTTAGACAACGAAGCTGCGCAATCCGCTTTGATTGCTGGCCGCTCTGGGACTCGAAACGGACGACGGCTCTTACAGCAGGTCTTATCGCTGGAACATGACAATATGGCCAGGCCGTGGTTTGGGCGTGTGCCTACCCACTCGAACCCGGCAGACCCGCCTAGCCGACAGATCGTGGACCATCTGATCAGACAGGGCGCGAGGCAGGACGATGTCGATTTGGGCTGTCTGCTGCTTGAAAAGCCTCCGGATACGGGCTGAAGTGCACTTCGATGGGGGAAGTTCGGGTGCACTTGAAACGTGTGCTTTAGGAGTCGTGGCCCTTGGCCGAGCCTTGGAGGCTTGACCTTGGGACAGACAGCCGATTTGACTTTCGACTTTCCCCATTGCACTTCGGGCTTATCCGATAAAATGAAGGAGGGGTCCGAGTGAATGCATTGCAGTCTCACATGTCTGATTGAACATTTCATACGAAATATATTTGATTGATATTCCCAAATAACGACGAATTTGTTCATGCGTTTGTGGACTTGGAAATAAGTGACCACATCACTTGTGATTTTCACTTTATTTCCAATTTCACAACGATTGTTGTCTCGTTGAGAAACGATCGTGCATGAACACTTCGGGCGGTTTTTGGGAAACTCTTTTGAACCTGATTTTTAACGATTGAGTTTTTCATGAACTTCGTTCTTTGATGATCAGTTGCTAACATGTCTCCCGCGCACGCTCCTTCAAGCACATGAGTGCAAATTTTTGTCCCGCCCGCCCACCCTGGGGAAGTTCGGGTGCACTTGAAACGTGTGCTTTAGGAGTCGTGGCCCTTGGCCGAGCCTTGGAGGCTTGACCTTGGGACAGACAGCCGATTTGACTTTCGACTTTCCCCATTGCACTTCGGGCTTATCCGATAAAATGAAGGAGGGGTCCGAGTGAATGCATTGCAGTCTCACATGTCTGATTGAACATTTCATACGAAATATATTTGATTGATATTCCCAAATAACGACGAATTTGTTCATGCGTTTGTGGACTTGGAAATAAATCCTTATTGTTATGGGTTTCAGCTTGGTAACTGCACCAATGCTGTGACCAACAATGCCTGTGTGAGAGGCTTGCATGCTTGTGCCATCCCGAAGTGCGGGCAGCACGGGCACGGGGCCTCCGCGTGCCCGAAGAGGAAGCAAGAGTGACGGTGCCAGGCGAGCACAACGACGAATGATTCGTCAGAGTCAATCGGTCGTGTGGCCGGTGTTGGCCAGGCAGGAAATGATTCGGATACCCAAGCCAGCCAGAGCTCGGGACCAGGTTGGGAAGGCTTTTTACAGCGGGATGTATTCTAAGGGTGTCGTAGGGCTGCGAACTTCGGTCCACCGGCACCCCGAGGAGGTGAAAGTTCTAACTTCGTTGATTCGAGCCGTTGACCCAACGATGCTGTTTTCCAGTTTGGTCGTCACCGAGGATTCTCGTGTTGGCGTCCACAAAGATGCTCAGAACGTCTGCATCCAGAACTTGATCATCCCGATGACTCGTTTTGGGGGAGGCGAACTGCTTCTAGAGGATCCCACGGGATCCTTGGTTCAGAGGGGTGAGATTTCTTTCAGGGCTCGCGCCGTGTCCTTGGATCAGGGACCCATTGCATTTGATGCCCGCTCTGTTAGGCATTCCGTGAACCCTTCTCGCGGTCGGCGGGTTGTTTTGATTGCTTACTGCTTGAAAGGCTCGGACCGCCTTGCTACAAAAGATTCCCAGTCGCTTCGCAAGCTGGGGTTCGCATTGCCGAATCAGGAGCCTGCTGAGGTTCCCCTCCCCGCTTTCACAGTCGGTTTTCTTGATTTTAGGCCCGCTTTAGGGTTTAGTCCTCCCGGCCCTAGTGCACCTTCGATGGGTTTGTCTTCGGTTAAAGCTTGCCCTTGGTTGTGCCTAGAGCTGTTTGCCGAAACTGGCAATATGACTTCTGCATTGCGGAGCTTCGGGTTCCAAGCCCTTCCTTTGGGACGCCGTGCAAAGGGGTCTATCCACGCCCCCTGTCTTGGCAATACGTGAAGAGGCTTGTACAAGCTGGGGATGTGTTCGTGGTACATCTCTCTCCGCCGGCTCGCGGTTCGCTTGCCGATGCAGTGGCTCCGCTCGTCGCTGACTTTTGCTGCTGGCTCCGTTCCGAATTTCCTTCTGTGCACTTCTCCGTTGTGTGCCCCGCCTCCGCGGCACTTTGGAAACAGTCTGGCTTGCTGGATCTTCAGCGGTCTTGCATTCAGGTCTCCTTTTATGCGGCCGGCTGTGGTCCCGGGCCACATGAAAGCTTTCTCTTGATGTCTTCGTTGCCCGAACTTCGGGTTTTCGAAACTCCGGCCGATGCCTCAAAGATCCCCTCCGGGAGTCAGGTTCGCGTGGCTGCCGCCGCGCCATCGTTCGTGCACACGAACCATTTTTGTGAAAGGTTTGCGTCTGCCGTCGCCCTGGCCGCCGGTCAACTTGACACTGTGCCGACACAAGCCCTTGTTACCAATGCTTCGGCCCGTGCCGCCAATCAGCTCCAGCCGCGTGTTTCAAAGGCCGTCGTGCTAGTCGAGGAATACCACTATCAAGTTACCGTGCCCGCACCTTCGAGTGCCCTGCCCTCTCTTGACCCTAAGAATTGCCTCGTGGAGGCATTAGGCCCCGTTCCTGCCGGCTCTCGGGTTCTTAGGGTTAATTTTGAGGCGGGGGTAATTTTCCCTAAGCGCCCTCGACCCGACCGAAAGGTTTCTTCTCAGCTGTCTGACATGGGAATCGGAAAATTGGTTTCCATCACGTGTGGAGTCTACCGAAGCCCTCTTCAGTTTGCCGAGCGAGCTTTGAATGTTGGCCATCCTTGTGACATGTGCAGGGCGCTACCCGATCAAGCTATGACCGTCCTGGGCCATCTGCTCATCGAGGGTCCTGTCAAGGTCCTCAGACGAAGGCTGGATATGATAACCCAGTGGAAAGCTTGGGCAGCCGAATTAGAACCGGCCGAGGCTGAACTACACAAATCTTTAGCCCCTTCCGTTGCCGAAGTGGTCAAAGGAAAGCGCCTGCTCCTCCTTGATCGCATAGCCAAGTCCCTGCAATGGCCTGACACCCGCTTGCATCAGGATATGACCAGTGGTTTCAAGATCGTGGGCGAGGAGTACCCGAGCGGAGTCTTCCCCCTTGAGCCTCGACCGGCGACCCTCACGCCTGAAGAGTTGCTGGCTCAGTCTCGGTCAACCAAGCCCTTGATCTGGGAACAGATCAACGACGCTCCACTGGATGCGAACTCTCGTGAGCTTCTTGAAATCACTGAGGCTGAATACCGCGAGAAGGGATGGCTTGAACAACCACGCACTTGGGAAGAACTTGAGCTTTTGTTCGGGGATTGGCTCCCGGCCAAAAGGTTTGGTGTACGCCAACGCGACAAGCTGCGCCCCATTGACGACTTAGCCGCTAACGGTGCAGCATCACTTCACGCGTGCGTGTCGATGTTTTATAGATCCTAGGTCAAACGAAATTTTGTAGGGAGCAAAATTTTGGGCCATGACAATCTTTGCGCTACTCTTAGTAGTGCTTTACAATCCAGACTTTTAACAACTTTCAATCGCTGTTGCATGATTTCGTTTCTCCTGTCGAGCAACGATTTTTAAACCGTGCGATAAAACGGACACCTGGTCACGATTGGATCTGCAACCATCGAAGCTGTCTCGAGATCGAGCCAGAAATTTTTGATCGGGACTCCGCTAGGGGCTTGTAGCGGCGTCCTAGCAGGTCTCAGGCCCCTTAAGTGCTTGCTTTAGGGCGTCACGACTCCCCGCTATCCGTGCGGGGCGTCAGATGGACTTCGGCGACGCGCTCGCCGACGGGTCTTCTCATCGCTCCGAGGACAGCTCCACTAGCACTCGCGAGCTTCACAGTCAGCACATTTACGATCTCCAATTGGAGGTCAACGCCCTGAGGCTTCAAGTTCAAGCCCTCAGGTCCGATTTGCAGACTTTGGAGGAGTCCCTTGCGCGCGTCTGGGTGAACCAGACGGGTCATCACCAACGCCTCTCGTGGCTTGAGGGGATCATCCAGGGATTGCGCAACGCCTGCAGAGCCTTTCTTGAACCGCGCGAGCAGTCTGCTTGAGGGAGCCGTAGTGAAATGGGGGATGAAGGAGGCTCCCTTGCATCCAGTTTTGGCCTTCATCTTAGATCTTGCTTGCGAGACTCCAAGTCAGTGTGGAAGACTCCTTGGGGGAACTCGTTTTTGGCCCATGACCCTAAGCCCCGCCTGCCGCCTCCTCTTGGACCTCTGCCCCTTGTAGTCCCAGTGAGCCCCTCTGCTGATCAGCCGGCCGTGCCGATCCCTCGCTTCGTGAGGTCGGAAGGGCTTGAACAGGTGTGTGCCAAGATGGCCAAGTTCAAACACACTTCTTGGGAGGTTATGATCAACGAGGAAAGAAATCTTGCCGTGAATAAGTGGCTCAGCCTGGTCATGGTCGAGCCCTTGACCTTCGGTGTAGCTAGGAACTTCTACGCCGGCAAGGCGTCGGGGATCTCTTCGGGATCACTTGCTGACAGCATTTCGGATTGCCTTGCTGCCAAGGCCACTTCGACGATCAATGCCAGGGCTAATTGCTTGTTGCGGTTTGTTTCTTGGGCAAAGGGGAACATGCCGTTTGTTTTTCCCTTGACCGAGCACGCTGTATATGCATACTTCGAGGAGAAGAAATCGACAGCAGCCGCGACATCGTTCAGGAGCCTTCTTTCTTCCGTTGCTTTTGCTCAGCATGTGGTGGGCCTGGAAGGGTGTGACACTTCGGGTCGCGTCCGCGGCCTTGCATCGAAGCTTTTCATGCAGAAGAGGAAGCTCAAGCAGCGGAATCCCCTCAGGGTCTCCGATGTCATTCTTCTTGAAAGGATTTGCTGCAAGCTTGAGAACAGGTCTTTGCAGGACCGCATCGCTGCAGGCTTCTTTCTTTTCTTGATCTATGCAAGAGCTAGATACAGTGACGGGCAAAATGTAGCATCGCTGACTGACTCGCCGCTCTACTTGGAGTGCAGTGTGGGCAGGTCCAAGACGAGTTTCACTTTGGAACGCAAGACCAGGTACTTGCCGATGGCTGCCAGGAAGGTGGGCGTCAGTTGTGCATGGGCCGATGCTTGGCTTGAGGCTATGGCAGAAGCGGGTCTTACGACCAAGAAGAACGACCCGCTGCTCCCCTGCCCTTCCTCGAATGGTTCTTGGAAGATGGTCCCGCTTCCGTGTGATCAGGCGTGCTCGTG